GTGGGCTTGGTGGCTGGTGGGGCATGAAGCGTTTAAAGCCTAATTTACGTGGCCTGTTACTAAATTAAAGGTCATATTTTCTGCATTGAGTATGCTGTTGTAAAGTTGAGAAATTTTATGGTTTAAATGAAGAATTCTAGGTATGATAAGTATCTCGTATCTTACGATCAGTCGATCACCACGATGTCGTGTAAACATCTTTTCCTTATCTTGATAATCAAACAATTCTTATCTGCTTAATATCGGCACTTTAAATATCAACTAGTTACTCTTTACTCTTGCCTTTTAGCGTCAACAATTAGGTATAGGCTAACCGTATATGATTGTGCAATGTTTTCATGAATTTATTGGGTTATAAGTTATATTGGCTTAGGTATTTGGCTAAGGCCTAGGTAAGTAGGCTAGTCCATGATTCTGTGATTCATATTTCATGATCATGCCCATGGATTTGGTCATTTGTGTAATCTTGAATAATTTTTTTCTTCTAAACTGCCTGGTACGGTAGGCTACTTGGTGTTTGCATTGCAGTCACTTAAACTTAAAGTCCCAAACTGAGAAACAGGAAAGGAGCATCCATAAATGAGACAAAATTTCCCAACTTGTATAAATTTACCAGGGTGCAGAGGGTGGAAGCAGCATCAGCCATAGGGGCAATTTACATAGTGACAATACTGACATGTGACAAACCAGAGATTTTTTAGAATCAGTTCATTCCTAATTTCCTCATTTAGGCCTACTCAAGATTTGAACCAAATTCTTGTAAGATAATGTTGGTAGCTATCCATGATACTTTGCTGGTTTACTTATAGCTTAAGTGGTATTATTGCAGATTAACTACATCCAAAAAAAAGGGTGTTTTTTTTTTTTGAATTATATGTTTTTTGGGGTGTAGATTACGAATCTGAAATCCATTTTTGGCAGTCGGCATCGGAAAACCGATTTTTTTCGCGACTTACTAACATGGGGGTTACTTTTTTAAAAAATGGCATCATTTATAAAAATAAAAGTGGTCTAAGTTACCCCATTTTACGGTATAATTTGTTTTGTTGTTCTATGTTATGTTATGATGTATAGTGTTATATCATGATTAGTTATGTTAAAATGTATTGTGTCATGTCACTACAATGTGCCATGCTATGTTATTTATGTTATGTTATGTTACAGTGCATTGAGTTATGTAATGTTGTTACATCATGTTATGTTGTAATATGTTGTGCTATGATATTGTTTGTTATAATATGTTATGTTATAATGTAATGTCATGTTAGGGTGTGTTATAATGTGTAGTATAGTAATACGTTGTGATGAGTGCAGTGCTGTTGTGCAGTGATATTTTGTGTTGCAATGTGTTGTGTTGATAATACCATATTGTTAGTGTTACCATATTTTGTGTTATCCGCTTGTGTCGATCATTAAGCATCGGCCACTTTGATCGCAGAGAGCGCTTATAAGTGTTGATCATTGGGCATCAGCTAAACTGACTGTAAATCGCGTGCGCTTGTGTCGATCATTAGGCATCGGCCACTTTGATCGCAGAGAGCGCGCTTCTGTGTTGATCATTGGGCATCGGCTAAACCAATTGTAAATCGGGCGCGCTTGTGTTGATCATTAGGCATCTTCCACTTTGATCGCAAAGAGCGTGCATCAGTATTGATCATTGGGCATCGGCTAAAACGATCGTAAATCGCGTGCGCTTGTGTCGATCATTAGGCATCGGCCACTTTGATCGCAAAGAGCACGCATCAGTGTTGATCATTGGGCATCAGCTATATAGATCATAAAGCACGTGTGTTTGTGACAATCGCCAGGCATCAATCATAACGTACGTGTGCCTGTGTCGATCATGCAGCATTGGCGAGGGTTACACTTCCGCTTTTAGCAAGCATATTGGCAACTTTCTTCCCTGGCGTACATCCGAAAACGAACCTCCGGCGTACACGCTGCACCTTCCTGACCATGGCTTAAGTTATAGGACTCAAAAATGAACTTCTGGGTGAGTCTAAAAAACTCTCTGCTAAAAAACTCTCAAAGCAGAGAGTTTTTTAGACTCTTCCTCAAGTTCATTTTTGAGTCCTATAAGTAGACCAGTAAAGTATCTTGGATACCGTACGTGATACCAGAATTATCATACCTAATTTATCATCAAATGGATACCTAATTCAATTCAATCCATTTGAACTTGATCCAACCTAATTCAATTCAATCCATTTCAACTAAGTCCAACCTAATTCAATTCTACCCAGTACCCACTTTATTTCAAGACAACCTAACGCAATAAATTGCATTAGAATGCATTAGATTGCGTTGAAACACATAAGAATGGATTAGAATGCACTAGACTATTAAAACAATTTATTAGAGTGTAAAATGTGTACAACAGATTAGACTAGGGTTGGGGCGGAGCATCCACTGCAGGATGGAATTCTAATTTCGGAGGTTCATATATTATTTCGATCCACCAAGACCACTTCTTCTATCCAACATCATTATTTGAGGCAAAAAATGAACTTCTTAAAGGCTTAAAACACGCACGCTAACTTGCTCAGTTTCTATAAAGTACCTAATCACTTGGAAGTTGTAAACCTGCACCTATCNAAGAAGTTCATTTTTTGCCTCAAATAACGATGTTGGATAGAAGAAGTGGTCTTGGTGGATCGAAATAATATATGAACCTCCGAAATTAGAATTCCATCCTGCCGGCCGGACACGCAATATGATTGGGTGACCTATGCAAACAAACAAGCTGAAGATACAGCCTGACGCAAAAGGTTAGCCCCACCCCTTTAAAATATCATAACACATAAAGTTTTGCAAGATTTATTATGCAAATGGTGGCAAACGAATCGTCTTTGTCTCAGTAATCAAAATATAATAGACTGTAGTGAAAATGTAATTAGTACGTAACAGAGAAAATGAAAAACACATGTTTTTGCACTGATGCAAAAAATTAGCCCCACTTTGTATACTTTGAATTTTTCGGCAAAATAAAACATATATCAGCTGCAAAACTAAAGGTTATTTACCAATATACTCTCGTTTGGCTTTGTAGACATCCAAGCACCACTTTTTCATGCCCTGAGACAATCTGCAGAGGAAGTTGGGGTCCAGATTGGACCAGGCAGCTTGAATGGCCAACTTGAGTTCTTCCTTTGTGTCATACTGCTTCCCGCAGGTGTAGACGATCCCAGCCATGTACCCCCAGACGTTCTCAATGGGATTCAGATCAGGGGACTTTACTGGCCACTCCGTAACCCGGATTTTGGCACTCTTGAAGAAGGCCTTGGTTGTGCGCGCCGTATGGATTGAGGCCATATCTTGTTGGAAGATGGCGCCAAGGCAAATTTGGTGGCAGATGACGGGAAGTAGATGGTCCTTGAGCGTTTGGACATAGTCGTCCGCGCACTGGTTGCCTTCGAGGAAGATGAGCTTGCTTGTCCCGTTTGCATGAAAGGCCCCCACACCATTACACTGCCCCCGCCGTTTTGGTGGCTAAAAGCTGCCTTTGGATCATTCCTGCGGCAGCTGGAATGATAAAAGCTGCGACCATCTGGGCCATTCAAATTCCATTTCTTCTCATCAGAGAAGATGGTTTTGGCCCAGGTGTCATCACTAGTACTTGCATACTTTGTGCCCTAGGCGACCCTGGCATGCTTGTGAGCCTTGGTTAATTGGGGGGCCTTGTTCATCTTCACGTATTGGAAGATGCCGGAGGACGCAAGGGTGCGAGAGATGGTGGACTTGGAGACATTGAGCTCCAACTTTTGGACTAGTTTGGGCGTGCTCAAGTCGCCGGGTGCCACAACTCGGAAGAGGTGACACATGTCATGGGCCGACATCTTCTTGGGGCGGCCTTTGGTGTGCCGCTTTCCGTAGTTCACGGGGTCCTTGAGATAGTTGGAGATGGCTGTGCAGCTACACCCCAATTTTGCCTCCATTTGATGCAGGCTAGGACACTCGCCCTCAGGCAATGCCATCAGGGCTTGAATGGCACCTTTCTGGAACTCAGAGGCTTTCCTGCACCCATTTCTTGCCTAGGTGAGCATAAGATCTGTGCACAACTATTACGCTATGAACGCACCCTTTGCCGCGAGTCTACGCTGCGTCCTGTCTGCAAGAGCACCAAACCTGCAAAGTGGGGCTAACCATTTGCGTCGGTGCAAAAACACAGACCGCTTGATTTTTCCGCCAGTAATTAACTTTTTCACCAAATTTCACCTGCTATAGATTGCAGAGCACAAGACAAATTGTTTGCCACCATTTGCATGTAAAAAATGGCAAAACTCAATGTGTTATGATGTTTTAAAGGGGTGGGGCTAACCTTTTGCATCGGGCTGTATGTGCAGTGACAGTGGTGTTGATCAATCGATCCATAGGTTGCGATTTGTCATGAACAATCAATTGATAGTTTATGATTGATCATGGATGCCAACTTAAGGGTGAGGTGTCTGATGGAGAGCTTAAAATAATGTCAATATCTTGAGTTAAAAGACCTTACTTTACAGCCTGTGCTTCTTCATCATCCATACATGCTACACTGCATTTTACAATTGATGTGGCTGATGCCCAATGACCAACCCCAGCAATGTCCATAGATGACATATAACAACAGTACTAGATAAGACTATTTGTGGTTAAACTTCATAATTCTTCTAAAAATCCTCTATGAAAGTTTCAACAACCATATTCAGCAGGTCAATTGGTTTAAAAATTCAAAGATAATGCAAATCACAGTGAAATCTCTCACAATTGCCATCTTTAATTCCTTACTGTCAAATTGCTCTGAAGAAATTGAAGCTGTATCTCAATGAATATGAATCTAAGCAGTTCTGATAGTTTATTCAGAAAGTTATTTCAAAACATTTCATTGTAGGTGTTAGTACCCTTACATGTTTTTCAATTAAGTTAATGACTCAGAATATTTTTACTTTTTTCCATGCAAAAGTTGTGATTATAAATTTTGTATATTCTAGCTTTTGTTATCTTAGAGTTGCATAGGCAATAGGGAATAGTATTCAAGAGCAAGAAGATGCTTGAAGGCCTAGTTGCATGGGTGTTCAACACGTACTGTGGACAGTATCTAGAGAACCTTAATACTGATCAACTCTCAGTTGGTCTCCTGAAAGGTATGTGAGTTCAATTGACATTTATATTAATTTCATTAAAAATAATGCCAGTTGTGCTTAAAATTTCTGTATAATTTAACTTCTCTAGTTGGCTACCCTTACTAACTACTGTTGCTTTTTATAATTTTAAAATTTTCTCAAAGGAATAGTGTTCTAAAATTTGCAACTCATTTTGCTCAATGTTGAGCATCTCCAGGCAGATATGATAAAATGCAGCTAAGATGAGAGTAGGATGCTGAGGTGATGGTGGATGATAAGAGACTTATTGAAGGAATTGCTGGCAACTGCGAGAAGCTTGTTTACAGTCAGGATGCAAATTTTCCTTGTTTCCCAGGATGCAAATTTTTTTCCTTGTTTACAGTGTTATGGGCTGTCACTCTTACTGCTGGTTCCCTCACTTAACCATTAAATACGACCCATTACAACAGTCAAGATGCAAATTTTCCAACTACTAAGCTTCAGGGTTTGTTCAACTCCAGCTGCTTGAATTTTTAGGAATGACTGATTTTGTAATCTCAAAATTGCTTCCATTATTTGTAACCTGTTGAAATCTGTTTTGTGGCGTACAATTATGGTGTTATGGACAAATTCATCCTGTGCAAGGGTGGTGTCATGGTTATTTTTGTGCAAGATTAAAGTAAAATTTAAAAGAAATTTTGAGCAAAACTGGCATTCGTTTTAATAAAACATGCATGCTTCAATGAAGGGCTCCTTCATAAATATATTTATTTAAAATTACATATTCATATATTTATATACCTATTATACCTGTACAAGTTCTGTTGCCATAGACTAAAGGCAGCTAAATGCAGCTTGATTCCTACCAAAATCTTATTTTGATTGTATGTATATATGGCTGGCAGTTTTTTTCAATTTTGAAAATTTCTTTTTTACATAATGACATTTAAAATTATGGTTGAAAATATTTCATTATACCAATCTAGAAGAGAGCATGTATCTTATTGTTTATTTCAGGGTTGGCAATGATTAAATCACTTGATTTTTTTTATAAAAAAATCATGATTTTTTTTATTTTTTCGATTTTTTTTTTATTTTTCTGATTTTTTCATATAATTAAATATATTGAGTGGCAGTCTTTAATTTATATTGAGGTATTGTTATTCATGGTTTAGTATAAATGTACTATAAATGACAAATTGGTAGTATATAAACTTGTTGCCTTTAGTGTATACGGTACCAGTATTAGGTTCCAATAAATTGAATGTTTTTGGTACAGAGGCATCAAGTGTGCAATACATTTTACGTAGCTAGCAGCTTAGCTAATTCTTATAAGGCTATAAGTAGTCTTTAACTATTTGACTATTTGTTATATATTGATTACAATATACAATTTAAATGTGTTAGCTAGCTTATTATACAGGGTGGAGCAGAACTGATTGAACAGTTTTGGGGCAAAATAAAGAGTAATGGAGGTACATAAAGAAGAAAGTTTATTTTCCTCAAGATTAGCATAACATACCATTTAACATACTTATGTTTTGCAAACAATATCAGGAAAATGGGGGTTTGTTAGCTGCATCACACTGTTGGAGTCGTTCTGGGAAGTTTTCTACAGCACGTTCACACATATGGCGAGGTATGGCCATATATTGTTAGTAGGCTAATTGCAACATAAAAAATAACACTTCAAAAAGACAAAAAAGTTGAAAAAAATCAAAAAAATCAAATGAATAAAAAAATCATGAAAAAATAAAAAAATCATTGATTTTTGATTTTTTGATTTTTTTAAAAAAATCAAAAAAATTGCCAACCCTGGTTTATTTGTAAAGCTTGATTGGAAATTCGATATTTGATATATGAAAATCGTGTGTACAGTTACACTGTCCAAAGTTCTGAGTTTCGAGAGAAATTTTTGTGGATACATTTTAATTTGTTTAATCTTTTTAACTGAACAGGGGAGCTAGAGCTGGAAGATGTCCCTCTACGAAAGGATGCTCTTCGGCACCTGGACATCCCTTTGCAAGTGGTCTCCGGCTTTGTGGGTCGAGTGAAAATACAAATTCCTGTGACTAGATTACGATCAGAACCATGGGTGGTGGTGCTAGAACACCTCTATGGTGTTGTGGCACCTATCAAACTATCAGAGGTTAGTTGTGTGAGGAAGAATTGTGTAGAAATGGCTAAATTCAGATATATGTTAGGCAAAGAATTTCTCTATTTATTTTGCTTTATAAAGATAACATTTGAAATTTGTTCATGTTATGAAAGAATGATATTGAATTAAATAGTAATTCTGTGTGTAGCTAAATTTTGACTCACACAATTACTATTTTATTATTAAGTGTGTTGTTATTATTATTAAGCGTGTAGCTTTTTTAATTTTGAATTTTCTGAAACAGTATGATGAAGAAGCAGCGGCTGAAGCCTGCTTTAGTCGTAAGATCAGTCAACTAGACGCTCTAGAGGCTGGATGGAGAGCTGAGCAAGCTGCCAAGGCTGGTGAACCATATGCTGCCGCTGCTACTTCTTGGTTTAGTTTTGGCACTTCATTTGTGACCAACATCATTGAAAATATTCAGGTTAGCTATCATGGTCTGTGTGCAATTTATTCTGGGTTATTGTCTACATTCTTGGGTTAATTGGGTTATTGTCTACAATTCTTTTAATCAAAATAACCAATCTTAATTGATTGTATGTAACTATTTTGAGTGCTAAATTGTTAAAACAATCTGGGTATTATCATTATTGCAACATTCAGTTTGCTTCATTTATATGTGATTATCTTATTATACTATATGTATTAAAAATTTTTTTCTTTATACATTTCTTTTGATCTTGTGAAGCTGTTCTATTTGATGTAACTTAGCACCCTTCAAAGGCATACTGCCTCAGTGATGAATTAGTTCAATATAATTAAATTGGAGAGTTTTTAATAAATTAATTTATTGTTTTTATTTTATATATTGTTTATATTTTAAATATACTCTATATATATTTTTACAGCTGAAAATTCACGATGTTCACCTGCGCTTTGAAGACGACCAGAGCATCCCAGGCCATCTTTTTGCGTGCGGGCTGACGGTGCACTCCTTGGCCGTGCAGAGCACTGACAGCAACTGGCTGCCTGCGTCAGTTACTTAGCATTAATGTCATGCCACCTAGGGTTGATATCATGCTCCTAGGGTTGATGTCATGCCACAGGGTTGATGTCATGCCCTTAGGGTTGATGTCATGCCACAGGGTTGATGTCATGCCCCTAGGGTTGATGTCATGCTACCTAGGGTTGAAGTCATGCCCCTAGGGTTGATGTCATTCCACCTAGGGTTGAAGTCATGCCCCTAGGGTTGATGTCATGCCACCTAACTAGGGTTGATGTCATGCCCCTAGGGTTAAAGTCATGCCCCTAGGGTTAAAGTCATGCCCCTAGGGTTGATGTCATGCCCCTCGGGTTGATGTCATGCCCCTAGGGTTGATGTCATGCCCATAGGGTTGAAGTCATGTGACTTTGAATTGATGTTTTAACAGGAAATTCTTTCTGGCTTCCAATGATTGGATAATAAAAGTCGACATTTGGTCAAAATTACCGAGATCCCTTCTTTATTCAGAACCTAACTGATATTTCATTTATTACAGTCATGAGAGATGAATGAGTTTAGTCATTGCTCTTAAGTCAAATTCTCATTTAGTTGTCATATTCTAAATGACTACTCTTTAGTCTACTCTCTCCAATCATTTATTCATATTTTCAATGCTGAATATTTTCAATGTCATGAAATGTGAAACAACGTGTGGGAACATTTTGAAACACCTCGTTTGTTCATTCAAGGTTTGTGCAAAATGTGGGAAGTTCTGGCGACGCTGTGTCCCACAAGCTGCTGGAGCTCACTGACCTCGCGCTGTACTGGGACACAGACTCTCAGTGTTGCTCTCATCTTTCTCTTGCGGACCTCAAGGTAATGCTCTTATTTAGATAGATTATATCCTGCTTATTTAAGCCCTTCAATTTAACTATAGAATAGAATTCTTTTAAACTATGTTTTTCAATCACAAGGATGAAAATTATTAATTAGTATTTACTATCATTGTGACAACATTTTTGCTTCCCAATGTTCTGCCAAGGTGATAGATTGCTGCAATTCAGCATAATTTTAATTTATTGTATCGGTTATGAGTTTTTTTCATATTAATTTAAATTTTAGTATAATTTTTTCTGTTACGTTCTTTGCAGCATTTCAAATATTTCTTTAAGAAAACAAGTTACATTATAGACTTGATGTCGACCGTTTAAAATTAATCATTTGCTACCATCATTCCCTGTATGACTTCCAGAGCCTGTTTTGCAACAAGAGTACACACAAATATCTGGTGGAGCCCGTGAGTGCGACAGCTTGTTTACGCCGTCATCTCACACCCTCTCCTCTCAAGAGCCAGTCAACTCCTCGCTTGTCCTGTCATCTCACCATGCCATCTTTCCCCGTACACTTGACCGACGAACAATACTCACAAATGGTTCAAAGCACCAGACTGTACGACCGTCTGGACAAGGCCAGGCATTTCTGCAAGTATAGACCAGAAGGACGGGTTATTGAGAACGCGCGAGAGTGGTGGCAGTACGCCATGCAATGCCATATTGATGCCATTTACGCCAAGAAAGTCAACGCTAACTGGGATTTTGTTTGTAAAAGATCGCGTGAATTGGTGGAGTATGTCGAGGTGTACACTAAACAGCTTCTGCAGCCAAATACTCTTCCCTTGGAGCATAAGAAGCTCATGAACAGAATGGAGCGAATACTTGGCTTCTCGGAGCTTAAAACACTGCGGGAAGTCGCCATGAGGAGAGTCGAGGATCTCACTCCAAAACACACCCCCTGTCATGCTTCTCCAGACCCGCCCTCTCCTCCTCCGATTTCTGATCGTTCTTTGCCGTCTGACAACAACACCTCAATGGCTTCTCCTTCGAGTAAAACCCAATCCCCGACAGGGCCATCATCGAGCTCCGGAGAAACTCTCCTACAGAGATGGTTTCCTTCCTGGGCTGGCTGGTACAGTCAGCCTTCGAGTTCGCCGACTTCACCTGAAGAATCTGTTGAGGCAAATACATGCAGTCAAACAGCAGGTTCTATTGATGAAGATTCAATGTCAGCCTATATGACGCCTCAAGCGAGCTGTAGGAACTCCCCCCCTCTCAGTCTCACAGCCACGGAATCTGATGACGCCGCCGAGGTTGCGTCGTCTCGCAGTTTTTCTCGAGCTGGCGAAGAAAATTCTTGTGCGTCTGTAAAGCATAAAAGGCTACACAGAATATCAACTTCCTTAGAAGAAGAGTTCCTTTACGTACTCTCAGATAGCATTGAGAATAACACGTTTACCAAGCGTGATGCTGTCTTTTGCCAGCTAAGTTTCACCTTGAAAAAAGTTGTCTTTTCTCTTTCCTCGGAATCCAAATTTTCCAGTGCTGCAGTACCTCTCGAAATTAGCAAATTATTCCAACTGGAATTTTCTGACGTGAAAATGGGTCTAGAATCAAGGCCGCGGAACAAGTCTCACAAATTCAACATAGAGCTTGGATCTCTTAATTTGCGTGATAAAGTTACCAAAGATTCTGCATTTCCTTGTTTAGTCGCACCTCAGAGTGAACAAGACTCTGGTACATACCATCACTACCGTGCTAGTCGCTCCACTTCTCACTCCTCCAACCTTTCCGCAGCTGGATTATCGAGTTTTGGTTACTCGAGGTCTTCGAGCATCAGCAGCCGCCTCAATAGTGAAGGATCCAAAGAAGAAACCCAGCCGCCGGCCACTAAACCAGACGATGCCCAACCCTTGTTCTCCCTCATTTATGAAAGTTTTCCTGCCAATCAACAAGCTGATCGCAGGCTCCACGTTGTCACTCAACCACTCGATCTCGTGTACAACCCTGAAGCTCTGGATGCAGCGTACAACTTCTTTAGTCGCCCTTTGAGTTCAGTTTCCAAGTATAGTCATCACATCCCGCAAGACCCTTCAATGCTTTCAATTGCCGCACGCAAGCGTTACGATGCCATCATGGAACAGACCAAGCAACAGCTACGGAAAAACTGGGATCAGATGTTACAGGGAAGTACAAGAAAGCGTTGGTTGATAAGCCTGGACATCAGTGCTCCGCAAATTATAATTCCAGAGCATTTTAATGATCGCAACGCTACTCTGGTGGTTGTCGACTTTGGGCGTCTCACCTTCTGCTCCTCTAATTCCAAGTTCGATAACAATAAGACCAACAGAAAGGAGAAAAGCGTTCCTGAAAATCAGGCTAAAGGAAGTTCATGGAGTGGTTTCATGGCCCGAATGTTCGGACAGCAAGCAATCGAGGTGGAAGATGGCGATGATGCCTTCGCTACTCCTTGTTCGACTCCTGACATGACTGAGAGTCCAGATGGTACTGAAGCGGACTTCATGTCTTCTGCTCATGAACCATTGACAGAAGAACTATTGCATTCCCACCTGTATGATAAATACGAGTTGCATCTCTGCGATATGCAAGTTTTGGTTGGCAAAGTGCGCGACAACTGGCGTTTTGCATACCGCAAAGGAACAGGCCCTATGCACGTGGTTGATCGCTTCAGCATCAGCACTCTCGTGTCGCGCAGAATCGTCGCATTGATCCCTGACGACAAGCCGTGGCCTACTGCCACTTTGTCTGCCACGCTGCCCAACATTATGCTACATCTCAATCAAACCAAGGTGCACGCTCTTTATTCTATTGCTCGAAAGATCAACGAACGAACAGCTCAGAACTCTGCCACGAGGGCGCCGTCAAAAAGCACTTTTTCCAGCAGGGGTGCTGATGTAGGCAAGCCATTGGTGCGTTCCGCTACTGCGTCGACTCTCACTTCGTTGACGAATGAAATGTTTTCTGCGGACCCGACCAGCGTGAGCAAACCTAAAGATTTTGATGGACCCGAGCAACCTTGTGCATCACCACACGCCAAGCATATGGATTCCATTGATCTCACGGAATCAGCCTCCACTTTACACGAAGATTCTCGTCTGCTGATGGTCCAGATGCACGTGGAAAAACTGTCCATAGAACTTGTTTCTCGTGGCAGAAGCATAGCGGAAGTTCAGGTTACGGGTATCAAAAGTAATATCCAACATCGTCCTTCTAACTATTCTGCTTCACTGACCATACACTCGCTACTTCTCGTAGATGCTCTTCAAACATTCGGTCCTGATTTTGCGCTTCTCATGGCTAGTCACAAACACATCAGCATGGACAGCGTCAGTGGAAGTCTTCTAGACTCCGACCCTTGCAGCCCTGTTTCTCCCTCTTCTCCGGACCACAATGTCTCTGCTCACTATCTCCGAACCACGTCACCCGTTGTGCTTACAAGAGCCTTGAATGCGTTAGCGTCATCGCCGATCTTACCCGGACAACAATCGAGTGCAAGTCTTAAGCTTTCATCGCCTCTCACTGCTGGCTCCCCTCCGTATTCTGAAATTGACACCGAGGCTCTTATAAGCATCGAAGTTACGTACGTGTCGCCTGATTGTCCTTCTCATGAAGGATCTGCCCCGTTGTTGCTAGGTTCTCTCCAGTTCAATACCATCGATATTATCGCTAACCAAGAGACCGTGGTAGAGCTGGTAGGATTCGTGCACCAACTCTTATCTCAACCTTCATCTGACGTCGCAGCTCCACGATCTAATTGCTCAACGATGCCTGCACAATCTGACCCCACTCCTACAGCTCTGCTGAAGGCGGAAGGCACTGAGCGTAATTCTATGTATGGCTCTCTTGCAATGCTCTACGGTTCTAGAACTGCTTATACGGAAAACACAACGCGAGATGACGCCGCCAACAATGAGTCCATGAGAATAGAAATGAGTTTTGATTTTTCAAAACTGACAGTGCTATTGCTTCGAGCCATAAAACGAGACAAAGATGTCGTTGGGAGGAAAGTGGCAACTGCCGTGCTGTCACAAGCAAAAATACAAGCGACTGTGGCTGACCAGCATCTGACTGTTGAAGGATCCCTCGGTGGCTTCCAAGTGCGAGATGTCACTCCTGAGCCCAACAAACACCAGTGCATTGTCAGCGTTGGCCAAGACCTCGAGCTTGAGAAGAATAGTGATATCATCAGTAAACTAACATCAGGAATATATCAAAGTTACGCTCAGAAAGAAAGTGAAGCAACACTTAAGGCTTTCAGTTTCAAGGTTGGTCGTCCCTTGGTTTTTACTAACTTTTCAGCTCCTGAAACCACATCTGACAACGCCATTGAAAGTAACCATTTGAGTGTTGATCTGCAGCTGGCGTCCGTGCTATACACACATTCCCCGAGCTTTCTGAACGAAGTGTCGTCTTGTGCAGACGAGTTTAAGCAGTACATGGCACGTCTTGCTCAAGGCATAAAACATGCCGCCACTGAGATGGCCATGGGCCTCGTAAGCAAGCGTATTGAATCTTTTGCGGGATTGCCAAGCTATGCCGAGGGAGGCAGCAGTGGCGTCGAGTCTCCACTTCACAGACGAGATAGCTTTGCTCGGTCCACTGAGACACTTCATTTACCTTTCCCTCCGCCCACCACAGCCTCCCACACTTCCCCTACACACTCTCCTCCTTCAGATCTTTCCTTCAGGCTCAAGTTGTGCGTGGTGCTTGAAACTCCCATTGTGGTACTACCTGAATCATGCACGAGCAGTTCAATTGTGGTGGCACAGCTCGGTCAAATCTCCATTAAAAATCTTCGGCCAGAAGCACATGATGCGGACTTCAACAGCCACCCAGATCATTCAACTCCTGGAACTGATTGCCCTCAAGTCGGCAACCCAAATTACGATCGGTCACCTCAGTACGAGGACTTAGTAAATCGCGTTGTTAAGTACAAAGTTTGTGTAAGAGACATGAGTCTGTATTCTTTTGACGTTGACGATCGAAAGGCGATGAGGAGTTCGGCTGGTTTCGGGCCGAGAGTTAGCTGCGCTGCTGACACCTACCGTTTTAGCGATGACTGCTCTTCTATTCTCTACAGCACAAGCGTTCAGCTTGTCGTCACTCATCAACGACGTTTGGTGCTTTTACCGGACAGCCAAGCTGGAATGTTCTTCTTCCCTAGTGACCATTTCTCGAACATTGATGAACTAAGCCCTGGCCACCCTGTGGACAGCATTGAAGTCTCCGGAGGTGTTGTGTCTGCCGTAAAGCTGAGCATGTCCCGCCAGCAATATCGTCTCCTCACGCAGGCCCTTGGGAACGTTTCCTTCGAGAAACGAGCCAGCGTTCATGTATCAAAACCAACGCCATTACTAGATCGTATTACTGAAGAAATCCAATCTCCGCCTAGTACTAGTAAAATCGATGCCTTGAAGAGCTCAATGTTTGGAGACGAACGAGCAGATCTACTTTCTAAACCCACGGATAAAGATACACCAGAAGAGTTCGTTCGGCTTGCAAGGAAAGTTCACGTTGCCATGCAAGGCGAGTTTTCTGTTCCCAGAGTCGAGGTAGAATTGCTCGGGGATGTGGGTGGCAGCTGTCAGTCATTAGTGAACCTCATTCTAGAAGATTTCCGAGCAATTTACCAGAACGATAAGCCCTTTGAGAACACCATTAAAGTCACCCTCAAGTCGCTGGTCATGGAAGACCTCTTGTGCCCTGAAGCATCACCTCATCGTTTCCTCTTGCGGTCTGTCGAGCCTCCTGCGCCGACTGAAACTAATAATAAAAATGAAGCTCCTTTGCCTCACGCGTTCCAGTTGGCTCCTTTCATTTCCATTTCTTGCCCTGATCTGTCCAAAGCAGGGCTGAAAAATTCCTGCTCTTCGAAGTCCCTTCCTGGTCGACTGGAAATCGAAAAGCCATATTTCAAGGCCCAGCAACGCCCCAACGTGAGATGCAGCGTTCGCAAGAGACGTAAACGGTTTCAGCAGCAGGTGACGGCGTCCAGTTTGTCTCTTGCTGAGATGATCGGCGATAAAATTCCTGCAATCAAACCTGAAGTGCCAAGAAAGTGCCCATACACTCCCCCACCGTCGCCCATCCCTGATGAATCTTCCTCCCTTCCGTCACCCGATGCTCCATCTAACCTTGTCCGAATCAGCATCTTAAATGTAAACGCAAAAAGTCCTGATTTCATGTCAAAGTACGACGGTACCAATCGTTTCGTTGACGTGGCGTTTAATTCTCTTGTGACAGTTGTGAATATTCCTTCTTGGATTATGATTGCGGACTTTTTCAGTGAGAAGCAACGCCGTGAATCTATTAGTTTATTTGGGATGTCCGAGGACTTCGACGCATCTGCCTCGGCTACTCAAAGAAATCCCGACGACAAACGTGATGAGGCAGACGGCGGCGCTGAAAAATCAGAGGAAATTAACTCTGTGTTTGAATTGAGCGTTGTTTGGCTAGAGCTCCTCCTAGTCCGAGTAGACGGAACCAGAAACACGGGAGCTGAAGTTGCAGGGGCCAGCGTAAGCGACGTTTCTGTTCGTTCTGTAGGCGCCGCCGGAGACCTTCAGCTCAGCGGACGCTTGGGCTCTATAGCGGTTACAGATCGCACGTGTCAAGGCTTACGTTACTACCACAAGTTCATCACAGCCGGCAATGAAGCGCTCACTTTTCAGCTGTACAAATATGGCCTTCCTGATCCTTACCTCCAGAGAGACTGTGACATGCGTCTCAACATCAAAATGAGCTCCGTCATGTACATCCACACTCAGAGGTTTGCCACTGAGTTAATGCACGTCATCGAGCAGTTCAGTCAACTGCAAACAATTCTCGACAAGTGGCGTGCCATACGCGCTGGCCAACAAATCGTCGAGAACTCGCGAGGTATTCGAGTATCTCTTGCTGTGACCGCGGGATCTCCAGTTATCATCCTACCGCTCTGCGGTCATGGCAGTGACCACGTTCTCGTCGCCGATTTGGGAGCCCTCGATATAAGCAATAAGTTTGTTTGGGCTGGCGCTCCCGGTTCTATTAGTAAAATCGAGAGAGAAGGTCTCTACGATCGTCTCAACTCTTCACATTCTGGGTCCAGGTCGCGATCGCGAGCCAACAGGTCACGTTCTCGGTCGCGTAGCAGACACAGCACCAATGACAGCCACCTGGGGTCGCAAGGCAAACCTCCACGATGCTTACTTGATGTCATGTACGTGAAACTCTCCAATATGGACTTGTACTGTGGTGAGAGGTGCGACCATAATCATCCTTCTACAGAGGCTAAAGTCTGGGCTCAAAAATCGGCAAATCGCGAAAAGAATCGCGAGTCGCTAGATCAGAAACAGGAAAGTAATGGCAACTCGTGGAACTTTCCAAATTACCTCTTCAGGAGCAGACGTCAACCAATCTTCCGAGAAAAATGTGCTCTTACAGTTCAGGTCGAGAGAAATTTAGACCAGCATGTATCCCGACGCGTTCCAGACATGTCAATGCAGGGTTGTTTGAGTAAAGTCCACGCTACTGTTGATGAAGACACATACATGTTAGTGCGTGGTCTGCTACAGTACAACTTGGGTGAAGATCTTACAGAACTCCACCACCAGCAGCAGCAACTTCACCACCCTCATTTGCCCCTGCATGCCACTGTGCACCCTCAGCCAGAACGAGATGACATCTACATCAGCCTTCACATCGCGATGGACCTCGATGATGTTACCTTAGACATCGTCCTTGCCGAAAAGAGTACCATATCGGATAAAAGTTGTCCCGCGTCATCGCCGCTCACGCGAGTCAACCTCATCAAGTCACGTCTCATGTACCAAGCTAACTCGGAAGGCGGAAAGGATGTGGACTTGGTTTCTCAGGAGATCCTGATACACGATACGAGGTTCACTGAGTGTCCTGCCAACAAACGCTCTAATGTCTTCACGGAAATCTTGAGACCAACGCCCCGCAACACGTCGAAGAACGAAGGGCTTTTACAAGCTGAGCTTCACTACCGCAGCACCAAGGAAGTCACTCGTTTCACAATCCTACTGAACAACATGCGACTAATGGCCATAATCGACTGGTGGAAAAATGTCCTGGACTTTGTTCAGTTGAACCCTCCGCAACCAGAACCCCAGAGTCACGCCGGCATGTCCACTGCAGGTTCCGATGCTCACCCGTCGGTTGGAAGACACGAGTCTCTGCAGTCGTTATCTGTGTGCTCTGAGGAAGGAGGAAGCATCGGTAAAATCCCCAGCAGTGCTGTCTCCCCACGCTCTTGTTCCCCTTCGTCTTCCCGTCTCGTGAGTCGGAAGTCGTCGGGTTTGGGGCGAGTATCTCCCCGTCTGAATCCATTAGTTGAGAGCACGGGAGTGATGACGCGCAACTTCCTCATAGACGACATCGAGAAAAGCGCGCGTAACATCGACGCCGAGTTCGAAGAGAGGGCGCCTCCATTTGAACTTAAAATAAATATCACTGACTCTGAAATTGTTATCGTAGAGGACGCTGCCTTCTGCAACTCACCTGGCCTCATCCTTAAGGTATTAATAACCCTGTAGTTGGTAATTCGTTTTTCTTAGTAACGTCTGTACTGCAGTTGACTCGATTAGAAATACTATGAAATATAATCTTTCTTGCATATCCATTTCCATAGGTTCAATCCATTGTACGAATTTTACCAAAATTTTGACCACTATAAACATTACGTAAATTTCACCTAACATTTTGACTACTAACCGTGTATGAATTTCGTCCAAAATTTTGGCTAAAAAATCATTTAAATTTCTTTTACTATTTAATTATTAATTTATTTTTAATTTATTTATCCCAAAATCACGATTACAAACCTTATATAAACATGGATGCAGAACACGACAGTGTTGAGATATTCTGACCTAAAACTCATTTAAACTTCGCTAACTATTCCTAATATGTCAACTTTAAGAAATTTCTCCCAAAATTATGATTACTTAAGAAATTTATCCCAAAATACCGAGTACAAACCTTATATAAACATGGGTGCAGAACACGACAGTGTTGAGCTATCGCCCGTCGCTGCTGGAGCGGCCGGTGTCCTGCAACCTGTCTCAGTGCGAGGTGTACTCGTGCGTGCTGTCCGCCGAGGAGGCCACCGCTCTGTCCATCCTCGACCCTGTCACCGTCAACATGGAGCTCACCGACAGACCTCCTGTCACTACTGACCTCAGTCTCGGCTCTGCCCTGTCTCATCATCACGTTCTCGAGGTGCTCACTTATCACAGTGAATTGTGTACGAGCTCGTCTTGAGTATATTGTTATATATTATTGAATTGTATACGCGCTCATCTTCATTATATTGTTATATATTATTAAATTTTATTCGAGCTCATCTTGATTATATTGTTATAGACTATTAAATTATACCTATACGAGCTCGTCTTAAATATACTCTTATATATTATCAAATGGTATATACTAGCTGATCTTGATTATATTGTTATATATTGTAAAATTATATGCGAGCTTGTATCTTTATTCATTTTTATTATGTAAAGCACTCAATATTTTATAGGTTAAATGACGTAAGTTCTTGAAAAAACATATAAAGCGCATTTTATGCGTTTTACTATGCACTGAGCCCCTATCTTTTGGTATATCGATGAAGTTTTGTACATGCATCGGAATAATTTATACTGTAGCAGTAAATGTTGTTTTGCCTGAAGCATGCAGTCAAATTTAAAAAAGTGCTCTAGTTGCGTATTTAGACGATTCTGTTTAATTCGGTTTACATTCAGCATTAGGTTTTATCGTATCACTAAGACTGCGTTAAAAGAAGTCAGTTTCCATTCCGCGGTATATAAATCCGCTAAAGGAAATCGTTTTACCGTTGATAAGTTCGCGTGGACAAAGTTAATCTCCATTGAAATGAAAATAAGCTTTGCAAAGAGGGTAGTGAAACCCAAGTGTTTCTGATACTTGGGTTAGCGCTTAGGTTAGGTTAGTGTTTAGCATTTACCTCGTTTCGATTCCTGTAAAATATTTCATTTAATGTTTTGAATATTGGCTTTTTAGCGCATTTTCTCATTTATGGAAAAAATGCACTATTGTGCTCGCCATGTCCGTCTGTCCGTCCGTCCGTGACTTCACGTTTTCGTCGACGAGAAAATGCGCTCTCTGTCACTCACTGCAGTGAGTACTGAGTTATATTTTTATAATTGTTTAAATTGTTTTGCATGATTTCTTTCAAATTCGTTGAAATATTTATAATTGTATTATATGTTTGTAATCATTGGCGTGTTGTGCAGATAAGTTTGCACCAAATCAACTTACGTCTCAGCTACCATGACCTGAAGATGTTCAAGCGCATCCTCGAGTCCTTGCAGGTCCTACAGGAGGGCGACGCCGACCCTCAGCACAAGAAGCCTCTGGAACATCCTGCCAACGTTGAAGGTTTGTGCTTCGTATCTCATCATAAACTTATTTATTTATTAGTTTCTTTTAAGTAATTATATCGCCATTTGGGGAGCTGATCTTATCGGGCTATCACTCTGTCTCTCGATGTTGAATTACGATGTTAATTGCAATGCGATGTTGAATTATGTCAGCCATGCCCTTTCATTTATTTTATTCGATAAATTATGTTCTGTAATGTATAATTTGACAGTCCTGCTAAACTTAAAGTCACTTTATTTATTTTAATTATGGCATTCGTTCATTTTTTTCTTTGGTTCAAGGATTCTGATGATGCATTGTACGTAAAATTATTGATCTATAAAATTAGTTATTGTAATTACCGGCGGAAAGCGGATAATTTACAGCAAATAACGGCTTAATTTGCTGTAAATATATTTGATATTTTACAACTAATTAAAGGGATTATATGCTGTTAATCCATTGGATATCTTACAGATAATAATTTGGATAATTTACCCTATGCCACATGGATATTATGCAGCTAATGAAGGGTACTATTGCCAGCCAATGTAACAGATAATAAATCTAATATGAATATAATATGATAAACAACCGTCTATATAATTAATTCATTTGTTAACTTGCAGCGCGTTATCAGATAATAAATCTTATATGAATATAATATGATAAACAACTATCTATATAGTTAATGAATTTGTTTGTTAACCTGCAGCGCCTTACCAGATAATAAATCTAATATAAATATATAATAAACAATTATCTCTATATTTAATTTGTTCATAACCGTGCAGCGCGCGTGTCGCAGCTGAGCGTGCTGGGGTTCTCACGCGACGACTGCGTGCGAGCGCTGCGTGAGAGCGGGGGGCGCCTGGACGACGCGGCGCTCTGGCTTACCAGGCACGCCGCCCCCCTGCCTGCTACACATCTTGTCCAGCCCCAGCCATCCTCCAGCACTCACTTCAACCCTGCCATCAACTTACACGCCATTGAGGTCTATATTTCCATTATTACCTAATGCTTTTATCGTTCTGTAATATTTTCGTCCCTATGTAATACTTATTTCCTCTAGTATTAATCTTTCAATCACACTACCTAATTTCTTATTTATTCTGTAAAAATTTCGTCTCTCTGTTATACTAATTTCATCAATTATCAAACAAGCAATCTTTATGCATTAATTCAGCTTCAGCGTCATCGAGGTGGCCTACAATCTATAATTCATTCCTTACTTATCTCATCCACCGTATAAATCACCTGTAATCTATATATAAGCAATATATTTCGCCAATATTCCATGAAGAATTTCACATAACTGATTTCATTTCTCGTGAAGTGCAAGACCGTCATGGTTAGTTTATTAATTTATTTAATAAAGTAATAAATTGTAGAGCTCGAGGAGCGAGGAGGTCTCTTTTATCAATTTTAATAATCCATGTAACACGCCAATGACGTTATCGTAATCAAACAGTTATGAAGCTTAATAGTTATCATTAATCAAGTGTCATCTTTCACGTAAGCTACTATACTCCATCATGAATCATATAGGTAACTTTTGGTATATTAATATCTGACAGCCGTCTTGCTGTCGAAAGTAGATTTTTAACATAACTTCTATTCTAAAAGTTCGACCACCTCGTTAAACTTTGAAGTGAAAGAGTGATGAATTTGAACAGAACTTCATCAACATTGGAAGAGGGACCCTGGTTCAAATTCAACATTTCAATTGTAGATAAACGCTGCTTATTTCAGATGAAAATCTGCCTTAAAAATCAATCGCTCATCGGTGTTGATGCGACCTTCTTTTTCAATATTTATACTTGAATCTGCAGTAACGTATTGAATAGCACCAATTTTTCAATGCATTAAAGCTATAATAATTAGTAGTACTCTTCAATAACAGACTACTTTTAACTATATTAATGATTAGTACACTTCAATAACAGACTACTTTTAACTATAATAATAATTAGTACATTTCAATAACAGACTACCGTACTTTTTCAGCTGAAAACTGGCAGCGTGAACCTGTGCCTCATTGACGACTGCGGCGACTGTGACGTCCCGCTGCTGGAGTTCTCCCTCTGCCACCTGACCATGAGACAGGTGCTTGTGAACTGAGATTTCTTGTTACTGTATCTTTTAGTGATCTTAGTGATCAAATCATTTCTTCTAGCAGAAATCTCACTCTGTCCTCCTGGGCCCAAAATTCTAACCATGTTTCAAAGAGACTTGATTTATTTTTTATATATTTAATAATATAACTAATTATTTATTGCCATTCTCTATACTGAATAATAAAATTGTTTCTCTACCGCTAACGTTTCCGCATTCTCTCAATACATAAATTTGTTCTTCATATACTCTATAATCTATATATAATTCTTTTGTATTATGAACAATACAAATAATTATTCAGTGTTATTGTAACCTGCTGTATAGATATTTGAATTATTATTATATTTAATTTTATATGTACGTGTATATTTATATATGTATACCTATATATAATATTATATATCATTATATTTAATTATATATGTATAAATATATTAAATTTGTACGTTATATTAAATTTATCTGTCGTTGGCAGGATCGCAGCTGGAGCGGCGTCGCAGGCTGCACGCTCTCAGTGAACTACTACAACAGATTCCTGTCTGGCTGGGAGCCGCTGCTGGAGCCCTGGAGGTAACATTACCTGCTGTGTTGGGTGCTATGGAGGTAATGTTACCTGCTGTGTTGGGTGCTGTGGAGGTAATGTTACCTGCTGTGTTGGGTGAGTGAGCCGTTAGTTATGGCTCACTGGGATCACATTTCATATTACCATTTATGAGGTCATGCTCCTATCAATGATACTACGCACAACTGAAGATCTAATCAACAATATTGTTTGTGAATAATGTTCCATGCTATGAAATTATGTACAAATGATCTTTTTTCAATGATATTTTATGTAAACTATTTGTTATTTTAAAGCTTTGTGTGCAATTGATATTGTGTTCAAGAAATAACAGTATGTATATTTGTCCCAATAGACGTTGTTTTCAACATCATTTTATATAATTAACGAGCTCTACAACACAGCATGTATGTATGTTGTGCCTGCATAGATGCGGTGTGCTGTGGGAGCAGCGGACGGTGGACAGCGAGGCCGGCGTGTCACGTTTGTCCGTCAAGCTGAAGGCGGAGGACACCATGGAGCTCAACGTGACCTCCTCGCTGCTCCAGCTCTACAAGATGGTCAAGAGCAGCTGGACCAGAGACTACTACCGCAGAGACGACACTCCTTCCAGAGACCGGTGTGCAAAAAATAATAATAATGGGGATTTATAAAAAAATATAACTCGGTACTCACTGCAGTGAGTGACAGAGAGCGCATTTTCTCGTCGACGAAAACTTGAGGTCACGGACGGACGGACATACAGACGGACGGACGGATAGACAGACGGACGGACATGGAGAGCACAATAGTGAATTTTTTCCGTAAATGAGAAAATGCGCTAAAAAGAATAGTACGGTATATCGGAATCGTAGTTTGTAAATAGCAAAAGTGTGTTAGGGTCACATTTTAAAAATGGTTTAATTGTTTGTGAATTGCATTTTAATTATGGTCGTTTTGTATGTGAATCGTTCTTAAGTGGTTCCCTTGTATTTAGATTTCATCGTAAAAATTGGTGTGTTACAAGCTACCCCCACCAAACACAAACGAGGAATTGTCCGCTACTTGTACTAAAGTAGCTAGGTGTTCTTATGCCGCTACTTGTACTTAAGTAGCTAGGTGTTCTTATGCCGCTACTTTTACTTAAGTAGCTAGGTGTTCTTATGCCGCTACTTGTACTTAAGTAGCTAGGTGTTCTTATGCCGCTACTTGTACTTAAGTAGCTAAGTGTTCTTATGCCGCTACCTGTACTTAAGTAGCTAGGTGTTCTTATGCCGCTACCTGTACTTAAGTAGCTAGGTGTTCTTATGCCGCTACCTGTACTTAAGCGAGTTTTGGTGGCCCCTGGAAAATAAACGAGTGAGAGGCAAGTCATGTACACGTGCAAGAAAACTAGAGCATAATAAATGGTGATCGCTGTACAATGATAGTGTTAACGGTACAGTGTAATGAAGGTAATTCCAACATCAATACAAAACGACGTTTAGAGAAAAGATTACCAAAATTTCAATGAACGTTTTAGGGATTGAATTCTGGAGCGAAAATGATTGAGATTTCGTTATTTTTGTAAGTAATTTGCAGCTTTACAGGCAAATCTACATTAATTCACATATCTATTATATTCTTTAAATTTGTTATCAAATAATTTAAATAACCCAATTAAAATCACCCTCAAAATTCTTTAACCTATTTTGTTTTTTCGTATTATTTATCCTGAAATTTAAAGATTTTATCCCAACTTTCGTTAGAGATAATTTTATACAATTATTTTTATGTAAAAAAATGGATTGAATTATGAACTTATGTTGATATTTTGTGTGCAGCTCAGAGCAGCGAAGCTCGAGCAGCTCGCCGTGCGCTGGGGGCAGCCCTGTGAGCTACAGGAGGCGAGCGCCCTTCATACCCTTCACCATTCACAACGAGACGGGCTCCTCTCTCCTCTTCACCACCTTCACATCCTTCACTTATGGGTAAGATAATGTCCCCTTCACCATTCACAACGAGACGGGCTCCCCCCTCCTCTTCACCACCTTCACCTCCTTCACTTATGGGTAAGATAATGTCCCCTTCACCATTCACAACGAGACGGGCTCCTCCCTCCTCTTCACCACATTCACATCCTTCACTTATGGGTAACATTGTTGCCAGTCACTATCGTTATTTTCCGGAAACTTTGCTAACTATTATGTGATATTACAAGGAGAAATCACCTATCAGGTAGATTTATTAGCAATGTAACATTCTACTAACGTAGTAACGTTCTACTAACGTACCAACGTACTAATATTAGCAATGTAACATTCTACTACTACTACATCCATCCAATATACTGAGCTGGAAATATCTTAGTTGAAAAAAAAAAAAACACGTTCACTATATAGTATTTTTCTATTCGTCACTATTGCTATTGCATCCCAGTTATCGAGCGGAATAGAAAGTATAAATTTTGTAGTTACACTATAAAAAAACGACATGGAAAGTACACGAAGAGCAACGTTTTATTTTTATTTAAGGAAAGTGCTAGTAGTTCATCATATTTGTGTTATTGGCTCATCAATGAGTGAATAAGTAGAAATAATTTAAGTTGAGATATAAATTACTTAATTTTTTTCATTTCCAGGGGCTTGGACAATTGCTACGAGGAGACCTCAGGACCTCCGCGCCCCGAGCAGGAGTGGACGCTGGTGCCGCCCTCAGAATCTGTTCCTTTTTCTATTGATAATCATCGTGAGTTGTGGTTTATGAAGATCTAACTCGGTTTCCTTTGAAAATATCAAGTGGGCTTCATTTTTTGAAACATGCAAGCTTTATTTCCTATAAAAATATCAAGTGGGCTTCATTTTTTGAAACATGCAAGCTTTATTTCCTATAAAAATATCAAGTGGGCTTCATTTTTTGAAACATTCATGCTTTATTTACTTTAAAAACATTAAGTCATTTTTTTTAATATTCAAACTATGTTTTCTTTCGATTATGTTCACACTCTGTTGGCTGTCTGGCCTTGCATGTTTACTCATTTATGTCGTCATGTGCACAGTAACTTGGGAAGTTTTGTATGTTTGAAACCAGTAAAGTCTTTAGATTATGACATTAAAAAGGGTTACTTATCGACGTGTGGCAGACTGCAGTCTCTGTCACTAAATACATTGCAGTTTGCGGACCCCACGTTACCATTATTCAATTTTTTGTATGTTTACGTTAAACTTGAATTTTTTCGTTCAACATAAGTTATTAAGCAGATATAATTGATTCATGTGGTGTAATCTATTGATGCATTATTGAGTTTTTAATTATTTTTCATTCTTCACAAGCTTGAAAATCCTTACGTGGTGTTGGTGATATCGTTTGACACTAATTAAATAATATTTAACTTAATCTCATCTCCATGATTCTGACCTAATAATTAGCTTCACTGCGAACCTAATATTTATATCAACGAAGAAATGAAGCCTTGAGAATTCCTGCACTCTGCGCAATCAGAGTGTATAGGAATAGTAATCTATCATTGCTATTTCCAGTAGTAAGCATTAGTCTTAATTTCAGGTATGATATTGAGAGCAGGTTAAGACATCAAAAATAAATTACAATGATTTCTTTGCATGGCTTGGCAAGGTGCAGATCATTTCGTATCTTAAAAATATACCATTGGCATAAAAATTCGATCCCTTCAAGTATAATATTAATAGGAAGTGTACAGTAAAGCCAAGACAAAATATGATGTGTGATGCGAGACAAAAAAAATATGTGTGATGTGAGACAAAGTATGATGTGTGATGTGAGACAAAATATGATGTGTGATGTGAGACAAAATATGATGTGTGATGTGACACAAAATATGTTGTGTGATGTGAGACAAAATATGTGTGATGTGACACAAAATATGTTGTGTGATGTGAGACAAAATATGTGTGATGTGACACAAAATATGATGTGTGATGTGAGACAAAATATGTGTGATGTGACACAAAATATGTTGTGTGATGTGAGACAAAATATGTGTGATGTGACACAAAATATGTTGTGTGATGTGAGACAAAATATGTGTGATGTGACACAAAATATGATGTGTGATGTGAGACAAAGTATGTGTGATGTGACACAAAATATGTTGTGTGATGTGACACAAAATATGTTGTGTGATGCGAGACAAAATATGATGTGTGATGTGAGACAAAATATGATGTGTGATGAGAGACAAAGTATGATATGTGCAGGCAAGGTGAAAGTGCGTCACGGTGACTCACATGAGCACAAGATGCACCAGATCTGCGTGCACGTGTCAGGCTGGCACCCCGTGGGCCCCGTGACGGTGGACAAGGTCGGCAGCTTCTTCAGGATGGCCGCGCCCGAGACTTCTGAGCCGGTCAGTGGCGCCCGTGGTGTCTCTGATGGTCAGAGTTATTATGGTCTCTGGTGGTCATAGTTATTATGGTCTCTGTCATAAGTCTCTGGTGATCATAGTTAATATGGTCTCTGGTGGTCGTAATTTATACGGTTCCTATCATAGGTCTCTGCTGGTCATATTGATTATGGTCTCTGTCATTGGTCTCTGCTGGTCATACTTAATATTGTCTCAGTCATAGGTCTCTGGTGTCCATAGTTAATATGGTCTCTGTCATAAGTATTTATTTAATTATGGAAGTAATCAATAGTTTATTGCCTCATAAGTTTTATCTAATTAGTGAAGTAATCAATAGTTTATTGCCTCATAAGTGTTTATCTAATTAGTGAAGTAATCAATAGTTTATTGCCTCATAAGTGTTTATTTAATCAGTGAAGTAACGAACTAACAGACGCACGGTGGACTGGCTCACGCGCGCATCGTAGTGACGGTGTCGCTGATGGGGACGGCGCGTAAGCTGGTGACGGTGCGCTCAGCGCTGCTGCTCTGCAACGCTCTGCCCACCCCCGTACAGGCCAAGCTCGAGAACCTCGTCATAAGCAGGGCAGGTGCGTTCTAATTACATCAGAATTTAGTGGGTCAACCGCAGGGCAGGTGCGTTCTAATTACATCAGAATTTAGTGGGTCAACCGCAGGGGAGGTGGGTCATGGGTGGGCTAGGTGTTTGGTGGGTTGTAATTATATCATAATTGAGTGGGTCCTAATTACATCATAGTTGACAATTATGGTGACATACAACATGATTAAGCATAAAGCAAATAGATAAGGAAATGCCATGGTCATGGGTGGGCAAAATGTGTAGTGGGTTGTATTTACATCATAATTGAGAATTATGTTGATATACAACACAATTGTGCACAATGCTAATAGATAAGTAAATGTATGCTAAATAGTCAATGTGTATGTTTGTTGTGCATAAAGCTAATAGAGTAAGTAAAAGAGTCAATTAATATGATTGTTGTGCACAAAGCTGATATACAAGTGAAGGTATGCTAATGAGTCAATGGGTATGTTTGTTGTGCATAAAGCTGATAGATAAGTAAAAGTATGCTAACGAGTCGATTAATATGTTTGTATTGCAGACGTGAAAGTACTTCAGGTGCCGTCACAGTCAACAGTAGCGGTGCCCCTGAGGTACGTGTGGGCAGGCATCACCGTGCGCCCTGTGGGGGGCCACGCCAAGCGGGCGCTCTCTCGCTCCAACCAAGCCTCTGGCAGCGCCTCTGCCTCCCAATCTGCTGGTTCGTTATTATTATTATCTGCCTTAATTATCATTAATGCATGCCTTAATTATCAGTAATCATTAATGCGTGCTCCTGGTGAATCAAGTCACGAAAAGTACAAGAATCGGCAACAGGCCATGCGCCATGGGCCTGTTTCTTCAGTGCCGACACTTCTATTCTGTTACTATATAATGAGTCTGTGAAAGCCGTGCACGTGCCTGCCTTCAAATGCTCATTTTAATCGAGAGATGAGCGATACTAGGTCCTAATATTGAGGCAATTTATCCCTTTGTATGGGTCATTTCGCTTCAGTTTGGCTTCTTGAAAGGGCGTATCACAGGGTGGTACCGGTCATGGAAAATATGGAAAGTACTGGAATTTGATTTTTCATTTTCCAGGCCTGGAAAGTCATGGAATTTCATTTCAGGTTATGGAAAGTCCTGGAATTTGCAAATAAATAAAAAAATGGAGTATTTTTCTGTGCTGCGTGTGTCAACCCTAATCGCCACGGGTTGTCGTGTCACGCTACAACCTCGGGTGCAAATGATATCTGCCCTTAATTTTGTTAAGTATTATTTGTCTTCTATTTTATATACGCTGCGATTATTTTACCAGGCATTAATATAGACTGTTCCCTATCACATGCAGTCTTCAAACGCACAATTGTTGACTCGAATCCATTTTTGGAAATTATGAGAATGAAAGGACCGAATTTCTGGCCTCAAGCAGAGCCATCTCCGTGTACGACAACTCCGACGGTTCGAACTTGTGTCTATGTTACCCATGGGCAGGAGACTGTAAGTCATTCACGTGTGCGTGTGCCTGAGAACATGTGCATATTTATCGCTGGTGCATGTGCAGCTTCATAACTGCTGCACCTCCTGCAAACTCATCGCTAGTTTCTTTGTTCCTGCATCCAAAACTAGTTTTTTTATCTCATTGTTTGCGAGTTCGTTGCCCGCCGTTGAAAGAACTGCATGATATGAGACGCATCAGCGGAGCGGGAAGCTCGAGTATACCGTCCACCCCCGTTGCTCGTTGGACACTGAGATCGTGAGTCCGACAAGGGTGTAACTCGCTCCCGGCACGCGAGTCCGCTTACTCGGTAGCAAAAGTCTATACGTAGTTTGCTAAATGATCTACCTTATCATTATCGATTAAAATAGCTAAAATATTATTGATCCAACACCAAGAATAGAAATCAGTTGAAGAGTATCTCGACAGAAGGCTGTGAGATTCGTGGTTATTTTTACGGTGGTTATTAGAAACTAAGGGCGTTTTCCCGCTAACCCTACGCGATTAGTGTTAACCTGTTTGTCCAGTCTCTTGTTTCCTGCCTTCTGATTGGCACGAATGAAATGAGAGACTGTGCCACAGTCTCTTGTTTCCCCACTCTATGCATTTACACGTTTGCTAGTTATCAACTGTAGGAGATGATAGAAGAATGTGCACGGTTACTCTTTCAGTCATGCTAAACCTGTCGTATGCGAGTTTTGGAAAATTATATTGATGGTCATGGAGAGTCCTGGAAAAGTTATGGAAATTTTTTTCTCAATATCGGTACGCACCCTGGTATCACTGCCACAGGCAGAAAGTGTGTCACTATTGGGGCTAGAGCGCCCAATAATTGTTCTGAGTGTATGATTGTTGACACTATTGGGGCTATAGCACCCAATAATTGTTCTGAGTGTATGATTGTTGACACTATTGGGGCTATAGCACCCAACAATTGTTCTGAGTGTATGACTGTTGACACTATTGGGGCTATAATCACCCAACAATTGTTGTGAGTGTATGATTGTTGACAGGATGTCCCCCGTGTGGGGGCAGCGGTGGGTGGATCCACTGCCGGGACGCCATACACTGGCGGGTGGTGGGGGGAGCGGGGGAGCAGCACGCACAGCTCCACACCTGCGACGCCATCAACGCCAACCACCCGCCCTTCAGGTCAAACTCTAATATACGCATCTATAAACTATTTTTATTTGTTTCACTTATTCACAATTATTTATAATTATTTTAAATTATTCAAAATTATTTTAATTATTTAAAATGATTTTAATTATTTGAAATTATTTAAATTATTCAAAATTATTTCAATTATTTAAATTATTTAAAATTATTTTAATTATTCAAAATTGTTTTAATTTTTGCATATGTTTTATAAATTACAGGCTTCTTTACATAAGTTGTGGGCTAGTTTAAAATTTAAAGCCGTTAAAACACAACAAGATTTCAATTTTCTGTCTACTGAGGTACAGAAAGTTTTAAGTTTGTTGTTTCTTATGAATATTTCTTTTGGCGAAAATATCCAACTCAACATTATTGTCCTTTATGTTTTTTATTCGTGCTCCAGTTTGTCATATTTATCAATCGATTTATTTCCTCTCAGGTTGAACGTATTCATCCGACGTGAGAAGTACCCCGTGGATGTCACCCAGGGCAACACGCGGCCCCCCACGCCCCCATTTAGTCACCCTCACCGTCAACCTCTCATCCCCCACCCCTCCCCCTCATCCTCCGAGTGGGTCAGTTTACTATCAATACATTTTCCGTTTACTATAACTACATATTTTACATATCAGCAGGTTTACATATAGCAGGTTTCTACATATTTTTATACCAGCAGGTTAAGCCAAATTAAATCAGATTGATGATTATTCCGCAACAATAATTATAACGATATCATTGACCTTATAACAGATTATCAAAGAATCTCTATTTTTTCTTGATGAAAATTGTCAAATGTAATAATTTAATTGTAATTAACATTTCAATTGTAATTGTAATTAATTACAATTACAATTTCAGGTGCAACCCGCGCACACCATCGTGCTGGTGAGCCCTCTGACGCTGGTGAACCTGCTGCCCGTGGAGCTGCACTATAAAATCCTACAGGATCCTTACAACGCATCCTCCGCCTCCACCGTATCCTCCCAGCTACCCTCCATCAGCGGAAGGATAAAGCCTGGGGATAAAGCCATCCTCCACTCAGGTCCGTGGTCTGGTCAAATACCGTCATGTTACTTAGAGTTATCATGTTATATAGGTATGTGATATATCAAATTACTTGAACATATCAGGTTATATAGGTACATTATACCCCCCGCGCAAGATGGCGGCCGTTGTAGCTCCCTACTCCCCCCGGGGATATTTAAATTAAATTTAATTTAAATATATATCAAATTACTTAAACATATCAGGTTATATAGGTACATTATATATCAAATTACTTAAACATATCAGGTTACATAGGTACGTTATATATCAAATTACTTAAACATATCAGGTTATATAGGTACGTTATATATCAAATTACTTAAACATGTCAGGTTACATTTACGTTATATATCAAATTACTTAAACATATCAGGTTATATAGGTACGTTAAATATCAAATTACTTAAACATGTCAGGTTATATAGGTACGTTATATATCAAATTACTTGAAAATATCAGGTTATATAGGTATGTTATATGGCAAATTACTTGAACGTATCATAAATATCAGCCTTTTGGTTCTGTTACCGACTGTGTTCAAAATATAGCTTGCAATTAGAAAAATAAATGAGTAACATTGTCCACATAGTTGCTTTCTTTTGGTATTTCTCTGACTGTGACTTAATTAGTTGTGGGCTGACAACTTCGTTAATTAAAAGTGACTTGCACGTAAACATGTATTAACTGGTCTTTGCTGGATTGTAATATATAGCTTATTGTTTGTAAACATTGTAGTATGTTGTAAAATAGGCATATTTACTGAAACGTTGTAGCGATTGTTTGTGAACATTGTAGAATGTTAGTAAAATAGGTATATTTACTGAAAAGTTGTACCAATTATTTGTAAACATTGTAGAATATTTGCCAAATAGGCCTATTTACTGAAAATATATAGGTACCGATCGTTTGTAAACATTGTAGAATGTTTGTAAAATAGGCATATTTACTGAAACGTTGTACCGATTGTTTTTAAACATAGTAGAATATATGTAAAATAAGCATATTTACTGAAAAGTTGTACGGATTGTTTGTAAACATTGTAGAATGTTTGCCAAGTAGGCAAACATTTTTACATATTGAATATTAACTGAAAAATTGTAGAGGAAATTGAGGAATTGTTAACCTGCAGTTGACCCAGAGGAGGGCGTGGCGCTACAGGTGTTCACGGACGCGTTCTCGGGGGGCGGCAGCGTGCAGGTGGGCGGCGGGGGCGGCGGTGGGGGCAGTGGGCGCTCATACGTCGTCCCCGTGACGCTCACGGACGTCGCCGAGCGTCCCTTGCAGCTGCTGCTTAGGATATCCCGCGTCTACTGCAAGGCTATTAAAGTCAGTACGCTTTTAATAAGACTTTTAATGAGTACCGGTACTCATTTATCGGTATTTATCTCGGTAAAGTATTTAGAATAGGAAAGTATTTATCGGTATTTCTCTATTAAAGTCAGTACTCTTTTAGTATTCTTAATGAGTACTTATTTATTGGAATTTATCTTGGAAAAGTATTTTAAGTAGTAAAGTATTTATCGGTATTTATTTATCATCTATCGGTATTTATCTCTTACAGTGAGTACTCTTTTAATAAGTACTCTTAATGAGTATTTGAGTAATGAGTAGGTAAAGTAGTATTTAAAGTAGTAAAATATTTACGTATATAAAGTATTTATCGGCATTTATTTATCATCGGTATTTATCTCTTAAAATCAGTAATCTTTTGATAAGTACTCTTAATGAATACTTATTTATTGGGATTTATCTCGGTATAGTATTTAAAGTACTAAAGTATTTACGTGTTTAAAGTATTTATCGGCATTTATTTATCATCGGTATTTATCTCTTGAAGTCATTACTCTTGTAGTACTCTTAATGAGTACTTATTTATCGGGATTCATCTCGGTACCGGTATAGTATTTAAAGCAGTAAAGTATTTATTTGTATTCATCTCTTAAAGTGAGTACTCTTTTAATAAGTACTCTTAATGAGTAGGTACTTATTTATTGGGAATTTATCTCGGTAAAGTATTTGAAATAGTTGAGTATTTATTGATATTTATCTGTTAAAGTGAGTAGTCTTTTAATATGTACTCTTAATGAGTACTTATTTATCGGTATTTATCTCGGTATAGTATTTAAAGAACCGTAGTAAAGTATTTATCAGTATTTATTTATCGTTTGATTTATCTCTTAAAGTGAGTACCTACTCTAGAAGTACTCTTAATTTTGCATTGTAATATGCGTAGTTTATGTTTTTTTACCTTCCTAAAGTAAGTATATTTGTTGAAAATGGTGTAGAAATGTGCGTAGTAGAAGGTTTTTTAACTCAGGTCAAGCAGGTCAAGACTACAATACCTGTTATTCGTACAAGTGAGCGTGTACGCCCAGTACTGGCTGTTCAACACTATAACACCTGTTATTCGTGCATAGTAACACCTGCTATTCGTGCATAGTAACACCTGCTATTCGTGCATAGTAACACCTGCTATTCGTGCATAGTAACACCTGCTATTCGTGCATAGTAACACCTGTTATTCGTGCATAGTAACACCTGTTATTCCTGCGTAGTAACACCTGTTATTCGTGCGTAGTAACACCTGTTATTCCTGCGTAGTAACACCTGTTATTCGTGCGTAGTAACACCTGTTATTCCTGCATAGTAACACCTGTTATTCCTGCGTAGTAACACCTGTTATTTGTGCGTACTAACACCTGTTATTCGTGCAGGTGAGCGTGTACGCCCAGTACTATAACACCTGTTATTTGTGCGTACTAACACCTGTTATTCGTGCAGGTGAGCGTGTACGCCCAGTACTGGCTGGTCAACAAGACTGGGCTGCCGCTGGTCTTCAAGCAAGACGGAAGCTCCACCGATGCCGCCGGTTTGTTGCTAATTATTGTCTTCCTAATTTTGCTGGATTTATATTTTCATATTGAAACGATGTCAAATCGTTTAGAAATTTGAGATGGGAATAATGTATTAGTTAATAATTGACGCCAAAAATGTATTGATGTTTCAGTATGTATTTCGCTCTAAAAGCAATGTGATGATTTATTATCGCAAAATATCATCGCAAATAACGATGTTATTTTGAGGTCAATAACGGTGCTTATCGCAGGATTAAGAATGTTGCCTTATATTTTTTTGCCTAATTACAATGTTATGATATGTTTTCTCTGAAAAATACCGTAACGATGTTACAATAAATTTTCTCTTACAAATAACGATGTCACGATAAATTTTCTCTTACAAATAACGATGTTACGATAAATTTTCTCTTATAAATAACGATGTCACGATAAATTTTCTCTAACAAATAACGATGTTGCGATATGTTTCCTGCAAGAACTAACGCTGTTATGAAATGTTTTCTCTCACAATTAACGATGTTATATGTTTGCTATAAGAAGTAATAATATTGTCTTTGCCAGGCCAGGAGAGCGAGCACGAGGCTGCGCGCTGCGGTGCGCCGCTGCTGTTCTCCTTCAGCGACCGCGACGCGGCGCCTGCGCTCGTCATGCGCATAGGCAGGCACCTGCACCCCCGCGCCCTCCCCCACTACTGCCACCGCCTCCCCCTTACGCAGGGTGAGCCTCCCTCACTACTGCCTCCCCCTCCCCCCACTACTAATTTACATATGGTTTTATTGTACAAAGTTCATTAATTTCATTTTAGGCTTCATTCAAGGACTACTACACACAGGACATGCATAGCCTATGTCCAGCCTCTGCTAGCAGAGGCGATCGCCTACACTATGAAAATGCTGACCACTAAAACAACAGCATTTTCATAGTGTAGGCGATCGCCTCTGCTAGCAGAGGCTGGACATAGGCTATGCATGTCCTGTGTGTAGTAGTCCTTGGCTTCATTTCATTTTTATTTGTTTCACGAATAAAATTTCATTTTTATTTAATTTTATTTTTTTATTATACAAAGTTGATTAATTTCATTTATTTATGCCTGCAATTCACTACCTAATACCCGTTCTTTTCTGATTCTAGTCATTCACTAATGGCTTGTAGTTATTTTCATCCGGCATTTCAAATGAAAAATATCTGGCATTCTCAAACTGTTTTTTTTTAAATGTCTGTAATTTTTAAAAAGCCATCACATACAAATTGCCATCATTCACAAATGTCTGCAATTCTAACATAGTGCACGATAGACCACAGCCGGTCTGGTGCGACGTATGGATTTTCTTTTGAAAATTTTAAATAGCCATTGTTCACAAATAGCCATCATTCGCAAATGTCTGCAATTTTAACATAGTGGCCCCCCACAGCCGGTCTGGTGCGGCGTATCCGCGTGTCGCTGCCGGACCGCCGGCCCGACGTGGTGTACATCGTCGGTGTGGACGTGAGGCCCGGCAAGGGACGCTACCGGGACACTCTCATGGTCACCGTCTCGCCACGCTTCCAGGTCGAGAACAGGTGCGTTATTTCGTGGTGAATTTTTGAATTTCATTATAAATATGTTCGTGCTTTCATGGTGTTTTTTTGAAACTTTTTATAAATATGTTCGGGGTTTCATGGTGGATTTTTGAAACTTTTTTTTTAATATGTTCGGGATTTCATGGTGCATTTTTGAAACTTTTGTTTATAAAGATGTTCGTGCTTTCATGGTGGATTTTTGATATTTTTTTATGAATATGTGTCGTGATTTCATGGTGCATTTTTGATATTTTTTTATAAATATGTTCGTCATTTCATGGTGCATTTTGAAACTTATTTTTATAAATATGTTCGGGATTTCATCCTGCATTTTTGATACTTTTTATAAATATATTCATGAATTCATGGTGGATTTATGAAACTTTTTTTTAAATATGTTCGGGATTTCATGATGGATTTCTGATATTTTTTTATAAATATTTTCGTAATTTCATGGTGGATTTTTGAAACTTTTCTTGTAAATGTGTTTGTGAATTCATGGTGGATTTTTGAAACTTTTGTTTTATAAAAATGTTCAGGATTTCATGGTGCATTTCTGAAACTTTTCCTTATAAATATGTTCGTGATTTCATGGTACATTTTTGAAACTTTTTTTTATAAATATGTTCGTGATTTTTTGGTGCATTTTTGAAACTTTTTTTTCAAGTATCAAATTATTTTTGAATAATTAGTGCTGGATTTTTAACACCTTGACTCCGAAATGGTACATATCTGCGTACCATGAAGTGTATTTCTCCAGAACGTAGTGGTGCATAATTCAAGGTTGCAAGATAGCCTAACGAAGAGCGAAGAAGAAAAGGCCAAAAACTCTATATATATACTATTATATTTGTAGGTTCTGGTGTAAAAATCCCATTTATTTTTTTGTAGTTTTTAAAATTTAATTAGAAAGTACCCCTATCAAAAATTTTAGCTGGCCAACGCAATTGAAAAAACTAAATCGCTGAATTTTTCTCGAAAAAGATCGTCTAGCTGGCAACCCTGGTTCAAAACAAAACAAAAATAAAATAATGGTACAAGATGAAGCAATCGGAGTCAACGTGTTAAATTTTTTATGAATAGTCAACAGGTTGAAAAGAGTTCTGTGCTTCTGTGGAGCATTTTTCAAACTTTTCAATTAATATTCAATTATTTTTTAACTGATACCGTGCTGATGTTGCTCATTGAATGACACTCTAGGGTATATTTTTTTAATTGAATCAAATGTGTGCAGTTTTAGGGCAAAAAAATCAAAATTAGAATTTTTTTGGCCATAAGTAAACCGAATGTGTCCAAGCTTCAGATTATTTCTCAAAGTGCCCTATAAAGTTATGTAGGGCGCTAGTTAAGATGTGATTTTTTGATAGACCAGAATGTGTGCATGCGAAGTTACTATACAGTATAGAATATGCGGACGCATTGTGATAGATTATCATACCTGTTTCTGGTAAGACCTGTTTCTTGTATGACCTGTTTCCCGTATGACCTGTTTCCCGTATGACCTGTTTTTCGTATGTCTTGTTTCTGGTGTGACCTGTTTTTGTTATGACCTGTTTGTATACTGTATATCCGCTTGTGTATGACCTGCTCTCTGTAAGACCACCTTATAATTTAACCTGGCGTTGCAGGTGTTCGTACGACCTGTTCTCCATACGACCACCGTATAATATAACCTGCTGTTGTAGGTGCTCGTACGACCTGTTCTCCATATGACCCCGTTTTCATATAACCTGTTGTACCAGGTGTTCATATGACCTCTTCTCCATATAACCTGTTCTCCATATGACCACCTTATAATATAACCTGCCGTGCCAGGTGTTCGTACGACCTGTACTCCATATGACCACGTTTACATATAACCTGCCGTACCAGATGCTCGTACGACCTGTTCTCCATAATACCATGTTTACATATAACCTGCTGTTGCAGGTGCTCGTACGACCTGCTGCTGGCGCAGACGTGCTGCACTGACGGCAGCATCGTGAGCGGGGAGAGCACGTGGCTGCGGTGCCTCCCCAGCAGCTTCCTCGCCTTCCACTGGCCGCGGCTCGACAAAGACCAGCTCTTGTCCATTAAAATCCTCTCCCCCGTCAGCGGTTATTGGTCCGGCGGATTTGCCATCGAGAAAATAGACTCCTTCCACCTCAATGTCAGGTAAACACTCACTGAAATGGCTGAGATTTTGTCTAACTTGTGTTTTGAGCTTGTGTGGGTCATCCACTATTATGCAGTTTGGTCCAGCGAAAGAGTATATCAATGCTACGTCGTGTTGTAAGTAAGAAAGTGCGTTATTATTTGGACAATGTGACAGTCATTTTCCTGATTACACATTTCGCTGCATTTCAAAATGGGGTCAAAACTCAAAATTTGTCTGTCCATTTTTTTCATTATTTGAAGAGCCATGAGGCACTGGAATTATCTTACATAGCCTCTGTATGCTATTCACATACCAATCGAAAAACATAATTTTTCTGCTGTTTACAATTGTTGAGTTTGTAAACACTGCTAGTTGCCATTCGCTTAAACATGGAGACAATTGTTAACCCTGATCTATTATGCCTTTTGTGGCGCTCTCTTACGACACTTTTATGACTGCTATGGCGCTCTGTTATGACGTTTATGACACTGTTATGATTTATGTCGCTTCTATAATTTACGACACTGTTATGACTTATGGCGCTCTGTTATAACTTATGACCTGTTATGGCTTATGTCGCTCTTGTAACTTACGACACAGTTATGACTTATGGCGCTCTGTTCTAACTTACGACACTATTATGACTCATGGCGCTGCGTTATAACTCACAACATACCCCTCCTGCAGGGGCGTGGACGGCGAGAGCACCTTCCTGCGCATCGAGACGCTCATCAAAGACGCGACCTTCTTCATGGTGGTCACGGACGCCGACCACTTCCCGCCGCCCTTCAGGATAGACAACTTCTCTGAAGTGCAGATCACGTACTATCAGGTCAGACTGTGTGTCTCGATTTGCTCTCCTTGCTCAGCTATTATAATAGGATAAGTTATTATGAACATCCCAAAAAACTGTGAATTCCTCGCTCATATCTTTGGCACGCATCTCGCAATTGATTAATTTCATCAGACTGACACGCAAAGCTCGCACATGCGCTCAGTGGTCTTCTATTACAATTATAAAACTTTTTATAAACGGCCAATAACAATAAATTGTTTATTTAATTATTTCTATCACGCCTCCCACAATTAATTGTCTAAATTCATCAGACGGGCACGCAAAGCTCGCACCTGCGCTCTATTGTGTTGCCGCATCGGTCGGTGTCGTACGCGTGGGACGAGCCCACGATGAAGCCTCACTTGACCTGCGTCGCCCCTGGCGGCGTCTCCGCCACCTACAACCTCAACGAGCTCCGGCCAGGGGCCAACCTCACCTACGAGAACTTCATCTACATCGCCTTCACCGGCACCTTCCCGCAGTGAGTCTTGCCTTCACCAGCACCTTCCCGCAGTGAGTCTCGCCTTCACCAGCACCTTCCCGCAGTGAGTCTTGCCTTCACCTTCCCGCAGTGAGTCTTGCCTTCACCGGTACCTTCCCGCAGTGAGTCTTGCCTTCACCTTCCCGCAGTGAGTCTTGCCTTCACTGGTACCTTCCCGCAGTGAGTCTTGCCTTCACCAGCACCTTACAACAGATAGTAAATTATGAAATTTTCAAAAAGGTTTGAAGTAGTCGATCCATTCAACTTCTATTGGTTTTTGTATGTCCTGAACTTCCTGGAATTCGACGTCACCGTCAAAACGTGAGCGTTCGTGCTTTTGTTGAAATTATGATGTGTGTTACGCGTGATGTCTTAGGCTGCAGAGTTAAAAATATATAAATATTAAATAAAATAATAAACGTCATGTCGACGTTTATTCCTTAAATTCGTGATGCGGACAACTATCGATATTACTTACATTATAATGTGGGATTTAAATTGAGTTTTTCATCAGGCCTTGGCCTTCCTGACTGTAAGTATATGCTAAGCGTTTTTCTCTGTCATTGCATAAGACTGGTCGGTCAATGTGATTGATTGTTGCCCTGGCCCTGATACGCGATTGCATTCGCATTCTGGCGCCGCTCACGTTGTTCTGCAATAGCTTTTGTCCGTCCAAAGTCTTGAATATTTTTTGTTATCCGTTCAAAGTCTTGAATATTTTGTGTTGTCCGTGCAAAGTCTTGGATATTCATATTAATTATCGAGTGACTTAGCGTATCAGTGACGAACGTTTTTAAGATGAAGTGTGCTTCCTTTGTGGCTATGAGATGCACTAATATCTCGTTGTGTTTAAAAATTTGACCATTTATTGATGATAATATTTGCTTCGGGTATACGCGCATGATTTTAATGCTTCTTAAGGGTTGCATTTCATTTTAAAAAGAGCTGTTATTTTCATTCTATGTTCGTGTAAGCGACCAGCATTTATAAAGCGTTAGAGTGAGCACGTATTGCAGCCATGGATCGATGTTAATAAAGAAAGAATAAATTTGCCACTCAGCGTGTATATCGATAACTTTATGTGCTTAAGTTATGTTCAAGTTACTCTCGTTTTATCCATGTTGTCCATTATATATATTTTTTCTATTTTTCAATTAATACTTGAATTAGGCGTACCTGAGCTTTATTATACGTTTCCTCTGCAAACATGGTTTGTTAACAAATTTAACTTTTGCGTACAAAAAAAAAAAGAAAATTTTTTTGAGCGGATGACATGCGCTGGAGCTGAAAAATTCTGTCAGGCTCAACCTATTAATTTGAACTTTGATTAATGAACCTCAATTATCTGGAACAATGGAAGTTCTTGCTCCTGCTGAGCCGACTACTTTCTCCTGGCAGGAGAACTGTCAAGTTATGATGATACTGAAGCTTTAAAAATTGACTTGTGGTTGTAAATTATAGAAATTACTTCTTGAATGGCTAATTTGAGCCGATTGTGTGTTAATGATTGTGAGGTTGTGAGCGATAGGAGGTTTTAGTGAACGTTTGGATGGTGGATAGCTTGGTGGATGTGGAGTAGTGTGCCAATACAAGGTTTTAGTGAATAACTTGAATGGTGGATAGCTTGGTGAATGTGCAGGAGTGTCAATAAAAGGTTTTACTAACAAGCATGGATGTTGCGCAGGTTGGTGGATGAGGTGTAGTATGTCAGTCAATACAAGGTTTTAGTGAACAACTTTAATGGTGGATGTGGAGGAGAGTATCAATAGGTACATGATTTTACAAATAAACATGGATGGTGTGCAGGTTGGTGGATGAGGTGGATGAGGGCGTGGATGCCCCGACGTCATCCCTGCGTCTGGACCCGACGTCTGTCGAGTGTCAGGAGCTCGTGCTCGACGTTGTTCAGGGTGAGAACTTTTATTTCATTTTACCTCTCATTTTATAGATTTTCTTCTTATATAAATTTTAAATCTTCATTCATTAATAACGATATTTTTTTCTAAATGTAATTTTTGAAAGTTCTAATTCATGCTCTGAAACTTATTCAGCGTGTTCATTATTATATGGCTGTTGTTCTCTCTAAATCTTATGAAATAAATTTTGTTGAATCGTTCAAGCATTTTATTCAATTCATGCCCTTCCACGCTCATAATTTCATATTTATAGACTAAACATTTCCCCCCTAATATAGGTACTCATTTTAGTTATGTTACTACTTCACATCAATATTATTACACTTAATTGAGAAAACTTCTCAATAGTAATTTTTCACTGTTAAATGTTAAATAAATAGAAAAATTAATAAACATTTACAACATAATTTATATAACATTTATAACATAATTTAACATTTGTTAAATGTTGAATAAATAAATTTTCCCTGTTGCCTAAAATAAATTTTTATTTTTTTACCTTGTTATGAGTCATTATTGCATGAATTCATCTCATGATGCTTGCACAATAAAAATAAGGTTTTATCTTAGTTGCATTTATTTGCCTCATGTTGATTGTGTCATCAAATTGTGATTGCTTCTTTATTTTGTTTCTTCCCCTCATTATTAGTGAAGAAAAGAGATGAAAATGTACATATATCATCATCATCCACATCGCGAATTTCATAAATTATGAATTATTCATGACGATGATATATATATTCATCAATATAGGTATTCATGACGATGATATATACCTATATTTATCAATATAGGTATTCATGACGATGATATATATATATATATATTTATCAATATATTCATGACGATGATATATACATTTACCAATATATTAATCACAATGATATATATTAATCACGATGATATATTCATGACGACGATATATATATTCATCAATATATTCATGACGACGATATATATATTCATCAATATATTCATGACGATGATATATATGTTCATCAATATATTAATCACGATGATATATTAATCGCGACGATATATTGACGACGATGATATATATATTCATATCAATATATTGACGATGATATATATATTAATGATGTGGAGCGTGTGGCAGGCACGCGTGTGACGCTGGCACGCAAGCAGGTGGGCAGGCGCAGTCAGCTGTGGCGGATGACGTCCACGGGGCGCCTGCAGCACGAGGGCTCGTCGCCCCCCACCGACCCTGCCGTCCCTCATAAAGACGACCGCAACACTCTGGTGAGCGGTCGTAATATATGCTCTATAAAGTATAGTTTATGCAAAATAATGTTATAGTTTATAGCAACACACTCGTAAGCAGCCGTAATATATGCTCAATAAATTATAGTTTATGCAAAATAATGTTATAGTTTTTAGCAACACACTCGTAAGCATATATAATTTGCCCAAAGTAATATTCTAATCTTGAGTTTTATTTGCTCTAAAGCAGATATTAAAATGAATTTCCCCTTTAGAATGTTGTAGATCTGCGTACAATTGTTTCTGGTTACAACTTACAATTATATTTTAATTTAAAGTTGTTTGTTCTACATTAAAGTCTGTTACACATCTTAATGCATTGTTATCAATTCTGCATCACAGTTTTATACACATCTCAATGCAATGCTGTCATTTTTACATCACAATCTGATACGCAACTTAATATAAAGGTGTCTAATGCTACAAATTTACACATAACAATTAATGAAACAATAGTGTACACTCACTAATATATTAACTTGTGTCCCAATAATTTACACTCACTAATTTAAGCCACAATAAATTGCCCGTATTAACTTGTGTCCCAATAATTTACACTCACTAATTAATGGCACGTACAATATATTAACACGCACGTATCAACCTGCAGGTGCTGGACATCAGCGGGACGGCGCCGCAGCCCCGCGCGTTCACGCCCCTCATGTTACGTCGGCCAGACCCCCGGCGGCAGCTCACGCAGACCTGGCACTTCACTGATGACGGCCGCCTCTGCTGCAGACACAAGAACTTGTTCGTGCAGGCCGGCGATGGCTTCATGGCCCTCGCACCTGGTCAGCAAATTTCAAACTATTTATCATTCATTTTTGTATAATTAATTTTAGATACGGTATAATAAATTTGGTGAAACGCTTCATGCAGGTCGGCGGAGGCTTCATGGCCCTCGCACCTGGTCAGCTAATTCTATGGTTCATTGAGCTATTTATTATATTTATCATTCATTTTGTATAATAAATTTAAGGTATATTAAGTCTGGTAAAACGATGCAGGCCGGTGACGGCTTCATGGCCCTCGCACCTAGAGAACCCAATATATTTGTTATTATTTACATTTTATGAAGCCCCGTATATTTTATTCTAGATATTATAATAATGTGCCCAGTGCACATATTCGTGCAAGCCGGCGAGCTCTTCCAGACGCTAATTGTTGGTGATCTCATCCTTAGTAATTAATATTACTTATTTGTTAAGCCTCATTTATATACGCCAATACGTGAACCTATTTGCTCGAGCCGGTCCTGGCACCTACTCCTGGTGAACACATTCTATTGCCTCATATTAATAGTTTATCAAGCCTTTGATTTTATTTAAGATATAATGTGTCAAGTGCATCACATTATCTCAGCAGGTCTAATCACTCAGTTATTATTGCACTGCGGCTGATGGAACTTGAGCGAAATGTTTTTTATTTCTTGTAGTGTTTGTAGATGAATTCAATCTTATTTGTTATTCCTAGATGTTGTTACCTGAAAGGTAATAGGAAGTTAATTTTTTTTTACTTTTTTTCCCATTGATTTATTTCACGTATGGACTTGTTATAGTGTTTGTAGATGAATTCACTTAGATTTGTAATTCCTATGTTGTTGTTCACTGAAGGGTAATTAGAAGTTGATTTGTATTCTCGTTATTGCAAGTCTTGCATTTGGTTCGTGTGCAGAGCGGCAGTCGCCAGGGGGCTTGTGGCATCGATGTGCGTATTTGCTTGGAGTAATCTCGTTAATTTAACTTGATCTTGAGGCATAGATTTGACTGAATGGCGACTAAATGTTTGGGTAAATGTTTGTTAAGGTAAAATCTGCCTTCGTGTAGATTTTTCAAATTGCACAAAGATTTGAAGATTTTTTAATCAGATTTTTCAAATCTGCCTCCGTGCAGTCAAACATTTATGTTTGACGGCACGAAGGCAGACTTTTGTATTAAATTTAAAGTTAATTAGTTGACAATTAATACGGGAACAGACTGGACAATTTACTATACAGAATGTGTAACGGTAATCTTTTACATTTTTTAATGCTTGGGGCTCATCAATTGCCGTTTTGCCATGCCCGTCTGTGATTCATATAACCCTGTAATGTGACGCTCCAGTAAATCCAATATGGCTTTCTAATCATTAAGTATTTTCTAACCCCAGGTTTGTTGGCATAAAAACGTGTGTATTAAATCATTCAGTTTGATGCTTATACTTTCTAAAACTTGATGTTTCATTGCAGTTAAAATTACAAATGTATATTTATTGTTTTCAAGAATTTTTTGCTGTTGGCATTGACACGTGCATGTTAAATCACTTGATTTGGCGCGTAATCTTTAAAAAGTCATGTCCTGTGCTTTTCTCAAACTTATCGATTTTGCTTCTGAAACTTCATGTTTCTTAACATTTTAACACTTCATGTTCCTTTATTTTAAAACGTAATGCTTATTGGTTCATAAACATCATGATTATTCTTTCATAAAGATCATTTTACGTCTTTATAATACGACGATATTTGTTGACCTAGTGCTTATTGGTTCATAAACCTAATGATTATTCGCTCATAAAGATCATGTTAAGCCTTTATAAAACGACGATATTTGTTGACCTAGTGCTTATTGGTTCATAAACTTAATAATTATTCCTTCATAAAGATCATATTCGTCTTTATAAACCATGCTATTTGTTGGCAGGGAAGAACGTGGAAACTTAATGATTATTCGTTCATAAAATTCATGTTTTACGTGTTTATAAAACACGATATTTGTTGGCAGGGAAGAACGTGGTGCTGGGACCGTCCCAGGGCGTGGAGTACGGCGTGGTGGGGGGCGGCGTGCCCATCGAGCAGGCCGTGTCCCGGCAACGTCTGCGTCCCGGGTCTGGGGTGCTCACCCTGCAGGTGGTCACTGATGGACCCACGCGGGTCCTCCAGATCAATGATCTCAACAACAAGGTGATTATTCAACAAGTTTTATCAACAATGTCTAGTGTCAATGTGTTGGAAAATTTTCTCGATTTGAATGAAAGGTAAAACTAATCTTAATGTTTAGATTGTATGGAATTATAATAACTGCATTGTATTGTTTTTAGCGCATTTTCTCATTTATGGAAAAAATGCACTATTGTGCTCGCCATGTCTGTCTGTTTGTCTGTCTGTCTGTCCGTCCGTCCGTCCGTGACCTCAAGTTTTCGTCGACGAGAAAATGCGCTCTCTGTCACTCACTGCAGTGAGTAGGTACAGAGTTATATTTTTAGATTGTATTGATGGATTTTGAATGGTGTGAATTGAAAAATTTTGATGTTATCGATGAACGACTTCAGATAAAAGGGATGCAAATAGTTCTAAATGGTCGGCCCCTGTTATGGTGTGGTTATATATTGTTAATGAATACTGTTATAGCGATCTAGATTGAAGTATAATTTTTTTTTCAGAACATTCCAAATATTCATAACATTCATACTGAAAAAGATGTGCATCCACAACCATTCATTTCTCAGCAATAATAAACCAAGTTTAAATGAAAATGCAACGGTGACTAAATGTTTGAAGGCTGAATGATATGTTCATGGTCGTATTTATATTATCCCTACCATTCCGTTGTTATCATCGAGAATGTTTTGTCGATGTTGATGATGAAGGAGAACATGAGGTGAATATTGACTCATAATGGCGAACATGAGGTGAATCTTGACTCATGGTGGTGAATATGAGGTGAATCTTATCGCATATGACAAACCTACAGCCTTATGGTGAACTCCAGGTTAATCTCTTCCCTGAAGACAAATTTAAGCTTTATCTTTTCTCTGAGGCTGGTTTTCAGCTGAATTTTTTCTATCATGACGAAATTTATGTGATTCCTGTCTCCTTGCCGTTGTAGAAATGTAAAATTTGCGGTTAATCCAGTCTCAGTTTAAGAACTTGAGGTGAATCATTTATCTGACGATGTATTCATGCTAATTAGTTTTATATTGAGTTTTAATTCATAGAATAGCTATACTCAGCCCAATACTCAGAGAAACCGACTTCAAGTTAAACTCAGTGTATTGAGTAGAATTGAGTTGGATTTCACCTTGCAAAGTGGACGCTCGTTCTGTAACGACTCTGAAGCCACCTCTAGTTGGTTGAGTTTTCCTGTAGTAGTAAATATTAATTTTTTGTTCGTTCAACTGTACTGTTTACTTTGAATTATAATTAGACTGATGATTGATGCAACTGTTTCAGGTGCAAGTGTCAGTGAGTGGAGGACTGGGCGTGTCCGTGGTGCAGCAGAACCCTCCCCAAGAACTCATATACATCCGCCTCACTGACATCATCCTCGACTACAACTGTACTCAGCGGGAACGAACTGTTGACGCCACCGTCAGGGACATACAGGTGACGAGAAACCGGGATACATTGATAAATTGTTGTAAATAATAATGATGAAGGTTGTGTGTGGGGCATTGTTATTTAGAGGTATAAATGTGTGGAGCAGTGCTTTTTATCACAATTAGTGTGGAGGCTCGCAAACAACTGAGCGAGATGAATGAAATATTGGTTCAAAATTTCATGGAAATGTCCATTTGTCACGACCTGGTTTTGAATTGAATGTTTACGCTAGGTTTATCATCAATGAATGTTTCCCAATAAGCCTATTCTCAAGACCATGATGGTATTATGAAAAAAACGTGTTATTATTATGTTGATGATGACGACGCTAATGATAACGTCAATGATGAGTATAATGATAACGACCATGATGATAATGATAACGACAATGATGATGATGATGATAATGATAACGACAATTATGTATGGCAGGTTGACAACCAAGTGAGCGGTGGTGAGGGCAGCGTGCTGGTGTACGTGTCGCCTCAGAGCAAGACAGACGAGTCCCGCCACCTGCCCGCCCTGCACCTGTCGCTGCAGCAGCTCCTGCAGCCCAAGCTTACTGCAGACTCGCTTATCTTCAAGGCATGTATACTGACGCTGCTCCTGCGGCCCAAGTTTACTGCAGACTCGCTTATCTTCAAGGCATGTATACTGACGCTGCTCCTGCAGCCCAAGCTTACTGCAGACTCGCTTATCTTCAAGGCATGTATACTGACGCTGNAGAACTTCCTAGTGTTATTGACACAAAGATGCCGTTACAGAACATAATAGAGTTAGTAACTCTATCCTGAAGTTATAGAACTTCCTAGTGTTATTGACACAAAGATGCCGTTACAGAACATAATAGAGTTACTAATTCTATCCTGAAGTTATAGAACTTCCTAGTGTTATTGACACAAAGATGCCGTTACAGAACATAATAGAGTTAGTAACTCTATCCTGAAGTTATAGAACTTCCTAGTGTTATTGACACAAAGATGCCGTTACAGAACATAATAGAGTTACTAATTCTATCCTGAAGTTATAGAACTTCCTAGTGTTATTGACACAAAGATGCCGTTACAGAACATAATAGAGTTAGTAACTCTATCCTGAAGTTATAGAACTTCCTAGTGTTATTGACACTAAGATGACGTTACAGAACCTCATCGTGTGCTTCAAGAACCTGAGCCTGACGCTGGAAGAGGAGGTCGTGTGCAGGCTTCTTGTGTTTGGGGGCTTCCACCTTCAGGAGGAAGGACCTGCGGCCCCGGGGGAGGACCTCACGGACTCCGAGGACCCTCTGCAGGAGTCCCGCACCAGCGTCCAGGCCGCCACCTCTGCTACTGGCACCAGGTATTGCAGGGCCAGAATTGCTTATTGTTGACAAACTCAAGTATTGCCTGTATTCATTACCAGCTTAACCAGGTATTGCAATAACATTCTCTATTTTCGATAAAATCGAGTATTGCCTTTTTTATTACCATCTCCTATCGGTATTGTGATTAGAAAGACACCGGTTGCGCACTCGTCTTGTGTGCGACCACGTGCACGAATTTGTTTTCTAGTTGTTCGTGCTATTGAGACAAAATTTCAATTTCATGCAAGAACTAACTTTCATTCAACGCCATTCCAGAATTGATTTTGGTCACATTGAAACTGAAACTAAATCACATTCAACGCCATTCCAGAATTGATTTTGGTCACATTGAAACTGAAACTAAATCGCATTCAACGCCATTCCAGCATTGAATTTGGTCATGTTGAAACAAACTAAATCACATTCAACGCCTTTCCAGAATTGAATTTGGTCATGTTGAAATTGAAACTAAATCACATTCAACGCCATTGCTGAGTTTACTTTGGTCTGCTGGAGCTGAAACTAAATCGCATTTAACGCCATTCCATGATTGAATTTGGTCATGTTGAAACTGAAACTAAATCATATTCGCCATTGCAGAATTTACTTTGGTCTGCTGGAGCTGAAACTGAAGCAAGTTCGGCTGAGCGTGCTGACAAGCAAGCATCTGACGGCAGAGCTGCGTAGGGTGCGCCGCCAGATGGGGCTCAATTCTCTGGTGCGCTTCGAGAACGCTCTTGTGAACCTCGACCCCTTCACCAGACATCACCCCTTCGAGACAACGCGCTTCTTGTGGGATAGCATTCTTAAGCATTACAAGGAGGTGAGGCTCCCATGATGCGATCAGAGTATTTCATGTTATGATGAGTTGATAACAGTTTCAACGTCGTGCAGTGCGTCAGTGCACTGCACACATTACATCGCAGTGCATCAGTGCATCAGTGCATCTTTTTTTACATAAATGCATTGATGTTTCAAGTTAGGCATCAGTCCAAATTAGTCATTTATGATATGTTTGCTTGCATATTTATGTCAAAATACTTGTGTTCAATTCTATTGTTGGTAATCAATTGCTTGTAGAATGTGACATATTACATCTTATTGCCATCTTCTGTCTTGCTATACGAGCAACTTCCTGCTGCATGAATTTCTATTTTGTGGCTGTCATTTCAGGAACTGAGCTCTCAAGCCGTGCGCATTTTAGGATCCACGGACTTCTTAGGGAACCCCTCAGGGCTCCTGGCGGATGTGTCTGAGGGCGTGAGCGAGTTCATGCACGACGGTAACCTGCAGGGGCTCATATGGAACGTAACCCACGGCATGGCCAACAGCGCCGCTAAAGTCACCGGTTAGTACGAGGCTTTATTGGGGTTATTCAATTTAGCTTTTTTCTGTGTTTCAAAATCGGTCATTCGTTCACTATCTGCTTTTATCTTAAATCCATCGGCAATCCCTATTATCTAAATAAACAAATTGTTATTTTCCCATGCATAATTTAGTAGGTAGTGTTTTTTTTCAGATTACTTCATCTTATTTTCCGATAAAAAATACACCATGTGTCCAAAACTGTAAAAAATATAAGTATTTCTCATGATAAATATCACATTCACCTGCACCAGGTATCCAAAACGGTAAAAAATGTAAGCATTTCTCATGATAAATATGACATTGATAAGGCTCGCTCTCGGACGGCCTGGGCCTCGTGACGATGGACGAGGCGCACGAGGCGATGCGGCAGCGGCTGGCGCTGCGCAGCGACGGCGGCGACCAGTTCCTGAACGGCGTCAGGGGCTTCGGCCTCGGCATCTACGGCGGCGCCACGAGCATCGTGCACCAGATGTACGCAGGCGTGAAGCAGGACGGTGCGCCGGTGAGTGCATCAGATGTACGCAGGCGTGAAGCAGGACGGTGCGCCGGTGAGTGCATCAGATGTACGCAGGCGTGAAGCAGGACGGTGCGCCGGTGAGTGCATCGAACAACAAGTTATTAATGCTAGTTATTTTACAATAGTACTTTAAAAATGGGCGAATCAAACTGATTTTTTTTTGCAAATAATGAACAATGCTGTACAATTACTCGCCGAATGTTCACTATTGAAAGTTGTTCCATATAGTAAGTTAGGTTAGTTATACCATTGAATAATGTTGAATAAAATATAATGTACCATTCATGTTGAAAAGGAAAAAATAACTCTCAAACTTTGACGTTTGAAGGGCTTGCTCGTCGGGTTCGCGAAGGGCGTGATCGGTACCGTCACTAAGCCCGCCGTCGGGATGCTTGACCTCTTCTCGGGCGCTGCTTACGCCGTGCGGGATACCAGCAAATCGTAAGAATGCTTATTGATTGTGAATTCATTACAATCATTTCTTCATTCCTTGAGTTACGTAGTCAATTCTTAAAATTATATTTTCTACCGAAAAATCCATCAGGGCCTCATGGTCATTGGAAAAGAGACCACCTAAACATTTACCTCTGTGATTCGGTACAATAGGGACCAGTATATTTCTTGAATTATGTTACTGAATCATTTCTTGTTTTTAAGGATCAATTAATTTCTTTAAACTGGACAGAAAGGATCGAATAATTCTTTTGGACTATGTAGCAAGCGTTTATAAGGAGAACCTAAAATAAAATATTTTTTTTTCGGTGTGAAATCTGTTTTTTCCGTAATTCTATAGCTCAAATGTGCCTGTTGCCGTGCATGTATAAAATAGGCTTGATTGGTCAACATAGGCCGCGCGAAACCATAATATTGTTTTGGATGCGAGTATTTTGATACTCTTGAAATTTCTGTATGTCATTCCCGTCTACGATAAATCGAGGCTGAGTATTTTAAAATCATTTCTTTCTTTCCCCTCAAGTCTTTAATGAATTCTCTATGATTGGCATTCCGAGTTGTGTTTACCGTCACATCAAGCCAAGCATTTGTCAATTATTGCTTTCTCATCAAACTTTTTATTGAACCTTATCGATTTTTGTAAGAATGTTATCTTTTCAGGCCGCTGAGTCGGTCGGTGCAGCGCATTCGTGCCCCACGCGTCGTGCTGGGCCTCGCTGGGCTGCTGCCTCGCTACAATGAGGCCCTAGCGCGAGGCCAACTTCTGCTCAAGACTATGCCTAACTACAGCGCTAAGGAAATGTCAGTATTTGTTTCCTTTAAATAATGTTATAGGTTATAATCTATTTTAAATAATGTTGTACATTATAATGTATCTTAAATAATGTTATACGTTATAATGTATTTATGTGTAATAATGTACGTTTTCTCACATAAATGTCTGCTGATATTTAGTTAAGCTCTGTTATTGACAATCTTTGCTTGGGATATGTTCTTGTTCTAATCATTCATAATATCAATAAAGTTTTAAATGATTGTACGGGTTACTGAAGCATTTTCTCGGTAAAAGCCTGTGTTAACTAAGAAGTTCGTTGCGCAGCGTTGTGGTGTTTATTAATTAAATGAAAGATTTGCTTCGGTGGATTCAACTTTCCCCTGCAATATTAACAAAATGCCGCGGCAATGAATAAATTGTTAACATGCTTTTTTTTTGAACACATAGCGTGGTGTCGTTTTCTTAAAAAATGTTCGCGGTAATTAACAAAGGACGAGCATTATCTTTTTGACCCTGACGTTCTCTTCCAAATTTATCGGTAATGAAGAAATAATGAACATCTTTGTGACCGTGTGGTTTTCGTAGCAAAATATCACGGTACTGAACAAGTAATGAGCTTTATTTTAATAATAAACAATGAAGATAATGTTTCTGCTAACACAGCGTGGTGTCGTACGAGGCGCTGCGCGAGGGCGCGGAGGACATGCGCGTGTTGGTGTCAAGCGAGCGCGTGCGCGTGTTCAGTCAGCAGGACGCCTCGTCGTCGCCCATCATAGTCCTCGCCGCCCCCTACACGTCTGATCAACTTAACTTTAGTTCACTATGTTGTTTGCTTTAGTTCACTATGTTGTTTGCTTTAGTTCACTATGTTGTTTGCTTTAGTTTACTATGTTGTTTGCTTCAGTTTACTCTGTTGTTTGCTTTAGTTCACTCTGTTGTTTGCTTTAGTTCACTATGTTGTATGCTTTAGTTCACTCTGTTGTTTGCTTTAGTTCACTCCGTTGTTTGCTCTAGTTCACTCTGTTGTTTACTTTAGTTCACTATGTTGTTTGCTCTAGTTCACTATGTTGTTTACTTTAGTGCTTCCTAATGCTATCCTTTTGGTTAGCAGAGAACGTTTTTTCAAACTAATTGATGGTCTTGATGTAACCTAATTTATAATATGTCATGGACAGATACAGATTAACAGCTATACCCCGTTATCTAGGATATAATGACGTTGCCAGGGATATAACGGATTTATGGACGACGTTGCAAGGGATATAACGGATTTATGGATGACGTTACCAGGGTTATAATGGCTTTATGGATGACGTTACCAGGGTTATAACTTATAATGGCTTTATGGATGACGTTGCAAGGGGGTATAATGGTTTTATGTATGACGTTGTCAGGGACATATTGGAGTGCCGCGCGGTGGTGGTGACAGAGGCAGCCGCGGACGCCAGCGAGCGTCACTACGTCGAGCTGACCATCTCGTCGGACCCGCGCCTCCTGCCCGCCCAACTACCCATCTCGAAGAAGCCTAAAGTGCGATGTGACTCCAAGGACATCGCTGAGAAAGTAAGGGCTTAGCAGTGTGGGTGATTATCATCGTGTGTGCGATGTGACTTCAAGGACATCGCTGAGAAAGTAAGGCTTAGCAGTGTGGGTGATTATCATCGTGGGTGCGATGCGACTCCAAGGACATCGCTGAGAAAGTAAGGGCTTAGCAGCGTGGGTGATTATCATCGTGGGTGCGATGTGACTCCAAGGACATCGCCGAGAAAGTAAGGGCTTAGCAGCATGGGTGATTATCATCGTGGGTGCGATGTGACTCCAAGGACATCGCTGAGAAAGTAAGGGCTTAGCAGCGTGGGTGATTATCATCGTGTGTGCGATGTGAGTCTGTAGTTTGTTAGAGTCGAGACCCATGCAGTTTGATGGACCTTGATGGGCCATTTGTGGAGAGCAACTTTCAACTTAAATGCGAAGTAGCTAATGTGCAGCGCTTTTATTCGTTCGTTATATACTATTATTACTTCTGAGTTACAGAGGAGACTTAAGCTCATTAGTCATATCGAATTACATCGATTACCTCAGAAAAGCAAAAAATATGCGAATCATTCGTATTTAATGTTATTTTAATTGTTCTCAGGTGAGTCAGCAAATTAACTGCGCTCGCGCACTGCACCAGGAGTTGTGGCAAACCATCACGCCGAGCCAGGATGAGGAGGAAGATTAACGACATCAGTTATTTGTTTAAGGGTTGCCGTGCTTTACTTCTCGTGTGACACAAACTCCTCTGGATAGAACTTCACTCTGTTGTCGTGTATTTTTGACCAACAGCTGCCATGCTTCTCATAGGACACCTAATCATACCAGAGTAGAACTAAACTCGAATGTCGGGTCTTAGCCTTTATATAATATTGACGGAGATGTTAATGACCGTTAATCATGCTGTGCTTTGACAACCAGGAGCAGTTTTACTACTGACTGAATGGAAAGCGAAATTAATGACGAATGTTCGTCAAAAGTGTAACTACAATGAGCTGTCGAGCATATGGAGAACGAGTAGTGTAAATCATTGTGAACTTTCCTACTTACATAACAAATCCGCGCTTTGATAATTCCAGTAGCGTTCTAACATATTTTATATTTATTGACCAATGCATTTGTTATTTGCAAAAGTTGCACAAGTGAGTCATATTCTTATATTAATCGTCTAGATTTAAGAATTCATGCATATGCATTTTTCTCTTCGAAACGTGCGCTGGCGTTTCCAAACTGGATTGTTACATGTGCCTTTGTAATCTTTTTAACCTCGTGTCATTCTGTATATTCTTAGACGCGATCGCTCGTTGCGTTTGCGCCCTGCTTAGTAAATGAAAGGAAATACTTTTAAGATGACATTTAGATTTTGATGAGATTCGTTTTCTTCAGCTAAAATTTAGTCCTGCCGACCTTGTTGCAAAAGGGTGTTGTTTAATTTAATCTATTTTATTACTGATTCCAGCTTTTTTGCAAGCTTCTTTATGGGTTTTGATTCACTATTTGATCAGAACTTGGCTTATTTTATATATCATTCTATTTTTTATAACTGCTTGTCTAAATTTCCGTAGCTGCTTACCTGTTAATGAACTACCAACCTGAAGTTCAATGCAATTAGTGTAATGATAAGCACTAAGGTTATGTGAAGTACCTTTAATTTGTAATCGTGGGATGAACGTGTTTAATTTTTCAACTATCCAGGTTGATGTAATTTTGCTCCAATTACTTATAATATGTAAATTTCTCATTTTTTTGTTGTAACTATTGGCTTAATTTAAAGAATTATAAAAACTCAAGTTACCGGTAAGTAGATCAAATAATTTACTCAGCGCTGCATTCTCCTAAGACAGGTAAAGAATATTTAATCATATCTCATGTCGCCTGATACGCAGGAAATTCAAATGACTTGAATGGGACATAAGTGTGGGAATATTTGTTCTTGCGACGTACAACTAACAACACAAGAATAGGAACGCGGTTTGTTCGGACGAAGTTTGTTCAGTGCCAGTAACTACGTTAATTGTATTAAGAATAAGTTTGAGCACGAATGTTTTCCTATTACATAATCAAAGGAGCATAATGACGCCTTCCTTGGACCTGATCTTCTTCAGTCTACCTTCGCGCATGTCGTTATTGTTAACTCTTTATTATCTTGCATCAGAATATTAGGCCTAATATTCGTGAGTAAGAGCAAGCCAACAATGGTCTCAATATAATAAATTGTTGAAATGGACTACCCTTTCATATCAATGTCCGGCAAGTAGGAATATGAAACCGATTTAAATGAAAATGTCGCTTTATTTATTAAGAATACTTAAAAGATGAACTACTGCAACCTCGTCTCGCGCACGAGACCAAACAATATATTAGGATTTATTTCTTCTTGAAGAAGCTGGTGATGGATGCCTGCTTACTCTTCACAGGCGATGCCTTGGGGGCGCTTTTAGCCTGCGAGGGTTTCTTGGATTTTTTGGTCGTCTCTTCGGGAGGCCGAGTCGCGGTTTTTGAGGGCGAAGAACTGCGGTCCGGTTTCTTGGCGGGAGGGGGAGCCTCGTCCTCGGGCTCCGAGTCCGTCACGTCCACGAACGTTTTCTTTGTCACTGAAAAAAAGTAGTTTCACAAGATTGCTTCCACGTTGCCGATATCAGAATTCAACTGCGAATCTATAAATTCATTTGAAATGAGGCACTTCAGTTCACAACATAATCTGAACATTTATCCAACATGTAATGCATTCATTGTATGTTGATGGTGGTAAGTTTTTGTACAATTAAATAATGAAGATAACGATTTGCCTCGAAACAATGCTCTGAAATTCGGCGGCTATCTACTATTCTTGTTACTTTCGGTGGTCGGTGCATTTAGTTTAGAAGGTCTTAGTGTTCAGAGTCCCATAACTTATGACTTGAGGGGCTCTTCCCGCAAGCAGAATGCTCGTCCTCGTGCACGTCACGCTCGTTTTACCTTGACTTAAAATGACATCGCAGGAGCGCTTAAACATTGCAACATGGTCAATCGTCTTAGGCGTTCATAGTCATTCTCTATAGGCTAGCAGCATTTTTACGAGTTAAAATCTGTGGTATGTCAACAAAGACTTTTTTTCAAAAGTTTGCTGAATGAAGCTCCTGACAATTCGGCCGACTGTTACATAAGAACAACACAACGTTAGGCACTCATGAGTACAAATTTGTCATGGAACACTGCATTCGCCTCATTTTACGACCTAAATTTAATTTAACTACAATAGTTCAAGCTAATTAATAAATAAACAAACAAAATATTATTACACTAGTTAATACGCAAGTAAAAAACAGGATAGAATACACCAAACGTCTAACTTTGCATAGGTATTTGTCGTAAAAAACTATAGGTTATAGACATAGAATTGTATTTACCAATGAAGCCATCTTCCTCGTAAGTTTGATCGACTTCCTTCCTCTTCTTGCCGCGGGTTGGTTTACATGGGGACAGCTTGGGCGCAGGGTCCTCATCGTCTGAGGCGTTGGCAGGTGGAGAAGGAGGAATTGGATCCTCCTCTTCGTCCTCAGAGTCCTTCGCTGTTCCCTCTGGTCAGGAATCAGTTCAAAATTTAATAGATAAATACTGTACAAATAAATGCCGGTATTTCGATCGTATAAATAGATACGGCCAAAAATGTACGGTCAATCGTATGAAAAAATAGAATGTTGACTGTTGAAAATGAACGCCAGATATAATGATTTATTTGTGTTGGAAGAAGAAGGCATCATAAATTCATTAGCAAAACAAACGGTTTTTCATCAGACGACCTCAAAAAGAAATTATTGTTCGCCTGACACGTAGAAAATTTACCAAGAAGCAAGAATGCGCATACAGGAGAGATATTTGTAGAAACATTCCCATTATTAATTCAAAAAATAGTCTAGCTAGCACATCATCTCAATGGCATATAACATGCATATCTTTACAAATGTAATCAGCGGAAAACGTTCGTAACTGAGTGCATAACTACAAACAACTTAAGTTATTGTTCTTCCAGTCGCCATTCACCTTCATCACTGGAGTCGGAGTCCACCTGAAGGATCCTTGACCTGTGCGGCTTAGTGACCGGCTTAGCCTTGGCTCGACCGTACGTCTGCAAATACAATATTCTATTAATGTTTTGAAGTTTGATAAACAATTAGATTAGGTAACCTACTATAGATTGAGTAACAAGGATATTAATAGTCAAACACAAACATTTCTAAAAAGCCTGTACAGCAGTCAAGTGCTTCCTTCTCACATAAACTTTTAGGTTAATTAGATGGAAAAATTTTGAAGCAAATTGCTTTGACAAACGTCCATTTGCACTTCTATTAAATTGCATTAAAAAAACCTCAGCTGTAAAACTAAGCTCAAAAATGTTTTTTTGTTTAAATACACAGCATTGTGTAAGCGCTTCACCATTGATCATATTTAACACTCAGGGTTGCCTACTCACTTTTACAGGAGTTGGCAATTTCTTGGGTGATATTTTCTCAGGACTGTCATCCATTTTCTCCGTCTTCACAACTTCGAGTTTTCTTGGACTTGAACGAGTTGAGCTTCTCTGCAGTGGCTTTGGTTCTTCGTCACGGGGATCCACGCCCTCCTTCAAGAAGCTTGATATTCCGTTTTGCTTTTTCGGTGCTGCTGATTTTGATTTGGTGGACACCTGACTCTTGGTCTAACGATTAAAATAAAATACAAACATTGCAATGAATGAAATATAGTATATGAATGAAATGTATGAAATATAAATAAGTTCCCTAAATTTGAGATATCATTCTCAAAGATTGTATGAAGAGTGACAGTATTTGTTGAGCGACAAAAAATATATGACAAATGATTAAATAATTCAATGCAATTGCATCCACATTTATTTCACATATTTTGAGGAAAAAAGTAGTTCAGAGGGATGAAATACGCCCCTTTTCAAATGTTGAATCAATGCTCTTACAAAAGGCAAGCTCTCAGTATATCCTCAGAAAATAATTTCTCCAGAATTTTGCACTAAAAGATTTAGGCCAACATAGAAATTCTAGAATGAGAGCAGGATATTGAAGCATAATAAATATCAATCAGTAAAAACAAACCTTGTTAACATCCTCTGGCTCTTTCTTGACATCCTTCTTAGCGTTCGTCTGCGCAGCAAACATTGAAGCAAGCGAGTTCTTAGCATTGCTTTTGTTTTTGTTACCAGCAGCATTTTTTCCTTCCGTCTTGACAACTGGCTTAGATGGAGAAGTTTTGATAACTGGCTTAGATGGAGAAGTTTTTGAGGGCTTAGCAAGACGAGGGTCTGGAGCATTTCTGGTGTCTTGAGGTGTAGATGGACTAGAGATCATAGGTAAAAATCACTCATAGCAAGAATACACTAAAGACAAATTTATTGAACAGAATAATATGAAACTAATAAGCCCAGAAAATATTCAAGAAAGGCCTGAAAAATAATCGTGCGAGCAAATTTTCAAAGAGCTAATAAGAACATTTCAGAAAAAATAAATAAACTTTAATCCTAGAATACAGAATTTCAATAACTAACCTCAAAGTGGCAATGGCTTCAACAATATTTTACTAAAAAGCACATTTTAGATTGATAACATAAAATGAAGTTCATTGATACACATTAACATAAATGAAGGTCAATGTACAATTCAATTGTTTGAACTGAGTTTCAATTGAATTCAAGAGTTACAAAGTTTACTCCCCAAAATAAATTTCAACAACAAAGAAAGAATAAATAAAATATAGGTAATTATTTAGCAAATACTGAACTCTAGTAACTCACAGGTATGTGCCCTTGCTCCTAGATGAAGCTATTTCATCCGTCGAGCGTTGGTTTGCTTTTGGACAAGAAATACCACCATAACTGTCACAGAAAGCATACAATAAATCACATATGGAAGCTAGTTGGTACATACTTTCATAGATAAAATAATCTAAATAGTTAGATTAAGCAATTATATTTCAATGGCATACATTCAAGCACAAATTTACACAAGATAGATCAAGTTTAGAGCAAAGTTCATTTTAAAAACATATGGTATTTTAAAATCTGTACTCAATTTCTCAAGAGAAGCTTTTGCATGGCAATCACAATGTACATACATGCATAAGTACAAGATCAGACTTGGGTGTAATTATCAGGCAAGGCGTATGGGATTGAATTATATAGAAATATGGGCACCAAACCAGTATGCAGAAGGTAGCAATTATTATTACCTTACAGATTCTTTAAGGTTTTGCCTGATGATGTCATAGTCAGCCGTGTAGAGGGGGCCTGAAGCATCAGCCAGTTTGCTTTTACAGATGCTGTACACATGAACGCATGAGACTGACACAAGACTTTCCTTGAACTTTTCCAGCTTTTCTTCTGGTACAATGCACACCTGGAAAATTCCTTCCAATATTAATCTTCATTTTTTTTGCAACTATTTGAGTCAGGCAAAGAAAATTTGAGTAATAAATTCTAAACAAAAAATCTTATAAGCAGCATTGGGCTGATAATAAGATTAGAGAACAATAAATAAAATTCATAACTATAGCATACAAAAATTAATTTAACACAGATCACAGAATTACCAGCAATGGAACACATCAAACATTTATAACCAATTAAATAAATTATATTCTGTTTTGATGCGATGGGATTAAAGTTTCAAACAACGATTTCATTCAGAAACTTCAAAAATATTTTTAATAACCAAATTAAAATAAATTATTATAAATTTCAATAATTTTTTCAAATTGAGAGAAAAATCAATGAATGCTTATAATTTGCTATTTATTTTCTATTCATATTGATATGTACTAACCTTAGTTCCTTCAATGTTATCTTTTAGAAGAGTTTGTCCAATAACCAGGTACATCACATGTAGCTTATTGCTACCCACTTGTGATGCTGCAAAATGATTGAGAAGCCTGCACAGAATTATGAGCATCATAGTGAATTCAGAGATAAAACATTCATGATGAGAAATATCAAAATAAATATCTTATGGAGTTGAAATAATTCTTGCACAGATAACAATGAAAAGTAGGCAGTTGTAAAAATATTTCTACTGTTGTGCATTTAGGTGGGATTTAATGATAAACTATATATATTAAAATATTAAACTTATTTAATATATGTTGCCCGCTTGTAAAGCCTGAAGAATAAAAAGCCAATTATTCTACACCGATATTGATATAAAAACCACATTGATCATGAACTTTGTCTAATTATCAGAATGAAAAATAAAAAAAACACACATTAAGAATAATGTCAGCTCAACTATAAAATTGCTGGAAATTATATACATACCTCTTAGCAACATCACATGGTAGCTTCAAGGCTATACTCAGCCATCGGTATGTCACCTGGCGAAAGAAAAGCCGATTCAGTTATGCACAAATTATGGGTACGGTATTCTTATGAGGTTATGGCCAGTATGCAGCCTGTGCTACTAAGAAGTCAATTCATTCTTTGAGTTACCATAAGAATTAAGGAATTTTAGCTAGGAGACAATTTTTTATTAAAATAATGGCTAACTGTCCAATTCTGAAAATTAAATAATGAATATATGCAATGCAAGTGATAATGCACCATCAAATACACTAAATAATATAAAATTGGTCAGACACCACTAGTATAGAAGTAAAAACGCTCAAGATTGTAAGGATCTTAAATTTTTGCTAAAATCTCAAAGCTCAACCACAATAACCTGTAATTCAAAAAGGAATCCTTCCATAGATGGTTTTAAGAAGTTGAATATAAGAATGGGAGACTAGCACAACCACTCAAGCAAGAGTGAATTCATGTTGACATTCATGCATGAAAGAAAATTTCTACATACAAGAGAAATTTTTCAACTCCAAAATCACATATATTTTTTAATAAATAGGAAATTTTGCTATTTGATCGTGTACTGTTGACAATTAGATAGGAAATTTATACACATGTATATAATCCATCTAAGGCAAATCCTGCAGCTCCTAAAATGGCTAATCAAGCAAAAACCACCTATGAATGAGATAATGAGTTCACTTGTAAAAAAGCTTTCCACCCAAAGTGGGAAGCTTACCTCAGATACCTACAGTGTTCTGCCAGGTGACTGACTATAAATGAAAAGGAGAATCAAAAGTGGACAAACTGTTTCAATTGTATAGTACCTCAGATTTGTTATAGAATTGTTTGGATGTCTCTTGTTCAATTGGTATTGTTTATTTTTATTTTATTTGATGGATTTCCTGAAAATTTTCTAGGCTCTTTGTTTGTAATGATCAATTTTAGTTTGAGTATTAAGTTAACCAGTACTGTAGTACATAAACCATATTTGGGGGTGGGGCTTATGGGCACAACCAATCGCAGCTGGAAAGCTGAAAGGGGGCTAAAATCACAATCTCATCAACCAATCACAGCTGGAAAGGGATAGGATATGTATATAATGGACTGAAAGTAGAAAGTTCCTGGCCTTTCCAAGCTTTCAGGTCCAGCTTTCCAATATGCTATGTGTACTGGTCAATTTAATATCCCTCTAGAATTCCACATTGCTGAGTGCTGGAAATTTTTTTGCAAAACTTGATATAATATGGTTAGGTTAGGTTTTTATTTTAGGCTAATATTTTGGGCTAATAAACCATATCTTGCCAACTCATTTTTTAAAGTAACACCATGGAGCCTGGATTGTTGGATAGCTTCTGCAAAATTTTACAGAATGAGAATGGGATAAACTCCAAATATTCCAATAGAAATTTAAAATAAGATATATATATTTTCCAGTGATTTTTCAAAATCAACAGTGAAATGTAAAATTTTATCTTCCACTTACAGAAAAATATGCCGGATAATCCTGATTGCAATAAAAATGTACAATTACGTAGCAAGAAAGGACGTAGCAAGAAATAAATGCTATAAATAGATCACCGTATGCGCAACTCGAGTTCTGATTGGTTTATGTCACTCTCAAAACAGCACACTATGTGCCAGCAATGATGAAACGTCACAAACTGTTGCCATATTTATTAAAAACCTTTAGAATTCAAATCTACAAAATTGCTGAATTCCGACACTGTGTGCGACTAAATGCGGCATATTGTGAGACTAATTCTGACAGCGCCTCAAAATCGTAATTCATAATTCTGACACCCTGTGTCGGAATTCCAACACCCTGTGTTGGAATATGACACCCTGTGTGTCGTAATTCTGACACCCTGTGTCATAATTCCAACACCCTGTGTCAGAATTAGTTTTTATGTGTCTAAAACCGTCTCTTAAATCAATCAGCTATTAATTTATTTACCACTTAAATCAGCAAATACAAGTATACTTGTATTTGCTGTATATTGTATTCACAATATATTCCCAGACTTATTTAAAAGTCTCACACCATAATATTCTTTCCACACAAACAGTTTATCACTACTTAGTAAAGCAAGGTCAACTATCAACTTTCATATGTGTTTTGATGTTCTCACTAGCTGACTTGGACCTTTGCTCTGCGTCTACGGATCTTAACCATTTTACACTAGATCTAGTGTTTTGCGGAAATCTTGCGCACAATAGTATGACGTCACTATTTTAACCATTGACGCATGCGTGGGACTATGACCAAGCTTAATATAAAGGAAAGAGTTGTCGGAATTACCCACAGTGTTGGAATATGGTGCGTTTACCTTTACCCTAGGCCAAAGCCACCTACAAATCAGACAAAAATGACTGTGAATCTGGGCTTTTCTAATTTCTTCAGTAGATTGAGTAGAAAACCAAGAACAGCCTATTTTCATCTATAATTCTTGAAAATCACCTATTAAACAATCCTTTTAACCCATGATTTTAGGAAACTTTTGCCTGATATTTCAAGTTGTCCATTGAGAAGCCAAATCTAAATATTACCTAATTTTTTTAGAATAATCACATAATTCACATTCAACTGCTACATCCTATAATTTATACATAATTATATGATTTTATAATTATAAGATCTAGGGTAAACGCGGTATATTCCGACACATTAAGGACGCATCGAGAAATGAAAAACTATAAAAAAAAACCGTATGCGTTACCTATGTAAGTTCTGTTGCCTTCACATGACTCTCCAAACACTTCACTACGCGTCAGCAACGATGAAACGTCACAAAATGTTGCCATATTTATTAAAAAGCCTTTAGAATGGAAACCTACCAAATCCCTATATTCCATCACTTTGTGTGGCAATATTTGACACGTGGTGAGTCGTATTGCGTCAGCGCTTCAAATTTAACTGATACGTATTGCCGACATCCACGTGTTCGAATTCCGTTTGCTGTGTGAGCTGTATTGGGATACAACACGGCTTTAAATTAGAACACTAACGAATTTTGAACACTACTTAATTACGTTTTGATTAACAGCTATTAGGCTTTTAATTAAGCAAATTTCAATTTTTGTACAAAGCTTTGAACGATCTGTGTGTGTCCAATTCAAGTTGTGTCAGAATTAGTTTTCATGTGTCTAAATCCAACATCTCAACTTAATCATCTATTAATTTATTTACGACTTTAAATCAGCGAATACAAGTATACTTGAAGGATTCCTAATATATTCACAGACGTATTTAAAAGTCTCAAACCATAATATTCTTCCTATAAAAACAGTTATTCACTATTTGGTAGAGCCATGTCAACTGTCAAATTTGACACATTTTTCTATGATCTCACCACGTGGCATGCATTGTCTCTCTTTGGATCTCAATATTTTCCCACTAGATGGCCAAGACCTAGTGTTTTTGCAGTATTTTGACACGCAAATCCACTGTGCAGAGAGTGAATGAAGATTTAAAGACCTACGGCGACGCATTATCGGCAAAATTTTCGCCTTCAGAAGATCTAGCTGACACATTTAGATTGAAATTCTTGCATTTAATATATTTCTCAGTCTTCAGCCAACTATTTAGAAAAAAAGTAAGGTTTCCGGTACGTTGGATGGATTACGATGCAGTGAAGCTTGTCCGGAAATCAGTTGCGATGAGTTCCCGCAAAAAATGTAAACAAAGGAGAGTCTAAAAAACTCTCTGCTTTGCCACTATGGACGCAAATGTATGACGTCACCATTTCAACCATCAATGAACGCATAGTGACAAACCAGAGCTTTTTTGAAATCAGTTCATTTTTAATTTCCTAAATAACTCAAGATTTAAACCAATTTGTTAAGTATGATAATGCTGGTATCCATGATACTTTACTGGTCTACTTATGGGACTCAAAAATGAACTTTAGAGAGAGTTTAAAAAATTCTCTGCTTTGTCACTATGAATGAACGCATGGAACTAAAACAAAGCTTAATATAAAGGAAAAGCTGGAGAGGTGACGGAATTACCTACGATGTTGGAATATACCGCGTTTACCCTATTTGCTATAATTTATTCTATAATATAAATATTTACCTTAAAAGACACAACTTCTCAGTAAAAAAGTTCAATTTTAGTATCTTGAGCCAAATGCTAGCAGCAAGAGAATTGAGCATCATAAATTTAAATCAATCAAGTCTACAACACTACATGGATATGAAAATTAACAGAAAAAGCAATACTTACTACTTTGTTTTCATCATTGACAAATTCATCCAAGTTTTCCATGTACATTTCTAAATCGCTGGCCATGGTTGTGATTCGAACATACAGGTTTGTAATTTTATTTAAACACCCTTTAATACTTCAACAGAAATATAGTTTAATATGAAGGATTGGAGAAACGTAGGTAGACGGACTAGGTACGTCTCACTCCCAGTCCCAGCCTGACCTGAGGCAGCCTCACACTCTCCGCTACTGGAGTTTTATTAAAGAAATTATATGTATGATAATGTATCGAGTATACATCCATAAATGAACGTAAAAATTATTATTAGTATGTCAGCGGCATTAAAGGATTACAGATATTGAACTTAACTCCATGAAACTAGGTGTACTTTGAAAGTTTGAAATGAAACTCAAATTGTCCAAATCCGATATTGGAACTGCAATCAGATTAATGTTGACATTCTCCCGCGAAAACATCGTAACCATGACAACATCAGCTGACCATTTACTACGTAGAGGTGACGTCAAACAAATCTAAACCTCTATTCACATATATGAACTTGAGAATCTAGTAAAGACGCATGGAAATTTTTTGAGCATGGGCATACATCAACAAATATCATTTCAGTTTGAATCTAGATACACGTTTATTTGAACAGTATTTGAAAATAGAACTGTTGTTGAATCATCAAATTTCTTGCCGAAAATTCAATTGTAACGGCTGAACCAACTCCAATAAAAATTGTAGAACCTTAATTTTTAACAGCCACACTGATAGCTATGCATTTAATGGGGCCACTGCACCAATAAGAAGTGAATGAATTCTTCGAATTGGGTGACATTTGGTGTTGCACAGCATTGTTATAGTTGTCAACGGAAAACATAAATCCGGGAACGGCTGAACTTTCATCAATAAAATTAATGCAGCTACTGCTAAGTTGAATATCGAATGAAATCTTCTATTAAGGCGATATTCGGTGATTAAACATTCAAATGCTAACCGGAAAACACATTTGTTGTTGTTTATTTGTTTATTGAGGATGTGGGGGTTGTCCCCCATGTCCCTCACGGCTCAACGAAAACACATTTAATTAAGAAACACTGAAGGGAAATGACTGAACTTGAAGTCAAAGTGTTATAGGTAAAATTTATATTTCACGAACAGCCTGACATATGTAAATTTGAACAGCCTTGGTGCGTTTTAAAGTGAATCAATTTTTAGGTTTGGGGATTTTTCAAGTTGAATTCAAAAGTAATGTATACTGATTCCGTGTCGGAAACGTATAGTTTCTGTAGCACTTATTGTATTTATTTGCCCTTTTTCTCATCAAACTGGGTAAGGATGACCCACTAAAAATCAAAAATATAACTCTGTACTCACTGCAGTGAGTGACGGAGAGCGCATTTTCTCGTCGACGAAAACGTGAATTCACTGACGGACAGACAGACGGAAGAACGGCCATGGCGAACACAATATCGCCTTTTTTCCATAAATGAGAAAATGCACTAAAAAGAAAATTCACCCTTCGAAACGACAAAATGAGGGAAGATTAAGAATGTTTTATTCACTTCGTGAGATCCTCGTCTACATTGAATATGTTCGCAATTTTTCAATAAAACTAGAAAATTTTTGACAAATGATTATCACAAAGTTCATGAATTTCATCGGCAATAATTACATCACATTAATAAATTAAAAGTAAGAGGGACCTTCACGTTTTTAAAATTTAACACTTTCAATTTCGATCTGAAATGGATATTGGCAAATGATGTTATTGAAGATACACTAATTCATCCTGAAAATGCAGCTCGGGTTATTATGTATTTTTGCTGGCATAAAAACTCTGGAAACTGAATGCGTCTGAAGTTTGCCTCAGCACAGACCGCAACGGTCCCTCAATATCCGGATCAGCCGTTATGATTATTTTTACCTTTTTTTCTTTTCTCTCTTCTTCTTCTTGCCACTCATTTCCTAAACACACAGCAATACCCAATTGTGGCCTTTTCCTCTGTGTGTGCCATTACAGTGTTTGCTAAAACAATCTTACCAGAATTTTTCCTAGCTCAAAATACCTAAACTAACCGAACCGAACCCAGCCTAACCTATCCTAACCTTACCTTACCTATAAACCAAACCTAACCTGACTTAACCTAACCAACCCTAACATAACCTAACCAAACCAATCCTGGCTAGCCTATGTGATGGCCGCCATATGAGTTTGTTCCTGGCTTGAACTTAACCACAGCAAATTACGTATATTTAACTATATGTTCAATTTTCTACCTATTCTTTTTTGATGCCGTGGATGTTTGAGGCTGGAATTTGCATTTCCAACACTCAAAAATCGTGTTGGACATGCTTGCTCTGGCCTCAAACATCCACCACTATGTTTAAATACTCCCAACCTCAATAACCTAGGTGTCAGTTTTCCTCTATCAATCAAACACTAAGAGATTGGTTGAAGGAGAATTTGTTCTCTAGTGTTGTTTGACAGCAAATATCGGGGGGAACGAGAGGGCCCAGAGCTCACCACTTGGGGCCCCTGAAAGGGAAGTTTTGTTCTCTTTAAATTTTCTTCAATCCTGGTCGTTGCAGAGATAAAAGGCCTTGAATAAGTAAAATATCCAATTGTGATGAGCACGGAGCCATTTTAATGACGAATGAAAACTTTTCCCTATGGGACGTGTGATTTTTCTTTTGATGAGCTTTTTAACATTAATGACAAAAAGCTGAAGCATGTAAATATATAAGACCGAAGTTCCTAACTTGAAATTAAGTTGTCCAAATGATAGCTTGGAAAAGTGCTTAAATTCGATTTTTTGCTTGAAGTTTGGGCATAAAGTTTGTTAAAGAAATATTTTTTAAAGAAGTGACATACGCAGTAATTAGAGCAATTTTATTATCTGTTAATAGCAACTTTCATAAAGTTTCCCAAAAATTCGTAGCTCGCACAATAAGCTGAAGAGTAAACACGTTGAACCCGCTCAGAGAAGCTCCCCGAGTTCCGTTGTTTTGACGAAAATTTGGTCAATTATTTTCAACTTTGAAAAATCATATCTCGAATTCTATTTGAGCTATGATCATAAAACAAAAAATGTCCAAAATGAAGACAAAGACTTGTATTTTATGACGAAAGCTGTAAAAAATTACAAAATTTACCGTACAGTAGTAAAGAAAAAAAAGTTGGAAAGAAAATTGACAAAAGTTTTGCTTACAACTTTGTGTGTTTCCTTTTTTTCGGAAAGCTGCTATAACTATGTAGTGTGTCTCGTCGAGGCGCTTCAGTAATGTCATCAGATTTGCAGAAATGTCTGGCCGTGAGAGATGAAAATCCACTGAAAAATAGCCAAAAACGACTTCTGTGGGTCAACTTTGACCCCAATGTTTGGGTCGAAGTTTCAAAGCCACCGAAAAAAAAACGCTCGAAATCCCAAACGCACTCCATTTTCAGCGCATTTTCTCATATATGGAAAAATGCACTATTGTGCTCGCCATGTCCGTCCGTCTGTCTGTCCGTCTGTCTGTCCGTCAGTGACTTCACGTTTTCGTCGACGAGAAAATGCGCTCTCGGTCACTCACTGCAGTGAGTACTGAGTTATATTTTTTCATCTTTCGTTTGAAATAAAGCGCATTGCTCTGACTTGGCAACTTTTTGAGCTGTGAACTTTTCCGCAGTCATTTTAGGTAATTTTTGACCAATTTTTTTATGTAGATTTGGGGGGGGGAGTAGAAGTTTTAGAAATCCGACAAGAAGATTTTGTCTACAAAATATGCTGTCAATTCTGTGCCAATTTCATGAGATTCTATCTGGTGAACTCTCGGGAAAATGGCTCGAGTCTAATTATATACCTCAAAAACCCAGTTCCTGGTGAATCAGGCAGCAGCATATCAAAGTGTGGAGAGTACAATATAGCGTCCGCTTCGCTGGCTGTAGTCGCACACACATAGAGTACGCTGCTCCATCCGAAGCGCCGGCTCAAAAACCGGTACCTGCCAGAAGTGTAGCGGTTAGAGAACTTCATCTTTTTTCTCATAACTTTCTCGTCCCTCGCCGTTCCCGGCCCATGGTAATACGGTATATAAGGTGAGAACTTGAAGCGCTTCTACTTAGACAGGTGCCTGCTGCTTCACCAAGTGCATTACCACATTAAGACTCGAGCGGACTTGGCCAAGTTGCCACACAACTGCATTACTAAGTCGGGCTTATCTATAAGCGCCTCTCTCACATTTTCGTGGTGACTCCGCCAGACATAATCATGGAATCGAAATTTATGGTCAGTTCTACTTTGAATTGATGAAAACATATATTTATTATAGTGTTTTGCGCATGAAACAATTTTCTATTAGTTAATTTATGTTTTAATTTGGTTTTAGACTCATGTTAATGCATTGTATATCCATCCTATATGAAGACTTTTTCTCGTGCTTCCGCAGCCTTTTCATTCAATCTGTAGTTATGTGTAAGCTAGTATAAAATGAGAGGAAAATGCTTAATTTACTTTTATTAATCACAAATTATGTCATGATTCATCTGAAAAAAAACACAATTTGTAAATGACTCACAATGACTTACACAGTTTTTTTTGCCGGACAAATAGTTATTGTTGAAAATATTCGAACTCAGATAAACAAATTTTAATTAATTAAATTTCATTTAATTTAATTTATTAATTTTATTGAGAGGAAATAATTTTTCACCTGACACCTGATCAACAAGAATATTACTGCATCAAACTAAACATTTACAGGTTATTATTGTTTTATAAGCATGAAAATAATTTCCTTACTTCACTGTAAATTAAAGATTCTTGGACTTTGTTAGTTATCATAAGTGTCGTGCACGGTTAAATAACCGTTGTCTTACTTATAGTGCCACTGTTACCTAGCAATCAGGACAGTCAAATACAAAACCATCTGACAAAATGATTTCTGAAATTCATGATCGCTCTGAAATTTATTGAACCAGCTAATTTTATGAATTATTATAGCTGACAAAGACCTGCCCTACATTCCTCCACATAGACTTCTCACGCTACCATGATCACGTTTTCATTAGACGTTTTCATTATACGTTTTCTAAAAGCAGCAATTGTAAATTTTTTTTTCACTGTGCAAATGCATACAGATGATAGATATTGTACAAATATTTGCACAGATATTGCTGATATTTGCACAGATATATCAATGTACAAATGCATACAGATGCTTGCACACAAATTCACACAGACTCTGGAACATTCCGATTGGATAATCTCACATGTTTTCCTAGCATTTGAATTATACACGACGCTAAAATAGCAGTAAATGAAACCTTTTGTCTGCCTGCAGGTAGGTGGTCCTCCTGCTGGTGCGGGGCGACGTGGTCCTAGCGGCCGCCGGGCCTGTCGCCTACGCCTACCCCAGCGCCGACGGTGAACCACACCACCGACACCACGGGTGGGGTGGAGGATATGGATGAGGAGGATATGGATGAGGAGGATATGGATGATGAGGATATGGATGAGGAGGATATGGATGAGGAGGATATGGAGGAGAGGGATATGGAGGAGAAGGATATGGAGGAAATGGAGGCTATGGAGGCTATGGTGGCTACGGAGGCTACGGAGGAGGTTCTGGAGAATATGGAGGATACGGCGGTTTTGGATTAGTTTTTTTTAGTTATTTATTCAAACGCAGTAACGATCTTTTAAATATTTTTCATTGTACGGCCCCTGGTTGATTTGCGTTGTTGACTCACGCATAACGCCAGAGTTCAGGGATCTCTTGGATTAGTCCTCACACATTGCATTAAACTCATAACCGAATTGGCCTATGTTCAGAATAATTATTTTCATAAACCTATAATCATCATTAATTCTAAAATATGAAATTCCATACAAATTAATTTCAGCTAATTAGATTCTAATTTAATTATTTCTCATGCCAGATTCCTCGGCTGATTTGGGGCAGACAATTGATTCGGCTACTAAAAATCTTCGTTACAAGAAACTCTCTCCAGATATTTATTTATTATAATTTTTGCTACTACGTCAAGTAAATAAGAAAGTTTAATATTGACTTTTTCTTTTCCTAAAAACTCAAAGTTCTCCATGGAGCATACAACAAATATTGAATTTAACGCATTTGCAGAAAAAAATAAAATCGTTCAAGTATAATTATCAAAAATTTCCTATTTATTTTATTTTAGTTAAATTGTTAGAGCTATTTTAATAATTAACATTTATTTTTAATAAAAAAAATGGGTGTTCAAAAAATAGAAAATCCTTGAAAATTTTCCGACGTAATCGTAAAATAATATGAGAATAATATTTGAAATTAAAAGCTTCACAAACTTGAAGTTAGTGCCGGTAGGATACAACTTATGCGATCATGTATTTTTCACTTGACATTGAATCGGGTTACTTTTGACACGATGCGACATACAAACACGGTAAAAACAGGTGTGAAAATGTATATCTTTGGCAAAGTAGTAAAGCTTCGATCGTCTATGTAACATATGCGACATTCGATCAGATATAATAGAGAAAAAGCATTTGTAATACTCGACAAGCAGAGAAAAGATTCAGCGATACTCGACTTGTGACGACACAACACAGCTAGTGACGCTCGACGAGTATATATAGGCATGGCTCTATGTACAATTAATACGTGTCACGTGCAGCCGTGAGTCAGCGATGCAAGACTAGTTGTGATACGGAGAAGCCACGATTAATCTTGCTTTTCTATACGTTTTTATATACGAGTTAAGTTACATTCTCGATATTTTATTAGAGTTATAATTTAGCTTCACAAGTCAATATTCCGTACTGCAAATTAATTTTAAATGAAGTTCAGTGCCAATGAATAATAGAATAAAATAGAAGTGTTGGCATTGAAGAAATAGGCCCATGTCCTGTTGCCGATTCTTGTACTTTTCGTGACTTGATTCACAAGGGATCCGGCCTTTGGAACCCGATCTTTCTATAGCTGACGATTGATTGAGATAGCTGCTGGACTCATTGCCTGGTCCGTAATTTGCTTGGCATTTTAAGACTGAACATATATGCTCCTGCATAGCTTCGTCTAGTTAAAGTGTAGTTAATTCTGACTTTATTTTATAATATAATATGTAACATAGCTTGTGCGCAGGTGAGCAGAATAAGAACGTGGGTTGAAGCGATATAGAGTTTGTAAGACGCGGTTGTTTCGTGGTCGTGAGACCGGGTGTTGTTTACATTGGTCGTTGGCAAGCCTATCGCGAGGGAAATTCCATCAGTTGAGGAATTCGGTGTCACTTCGAGGTATCCATAACGACCCTAAAATTCACGCCAAAAGGTTGTTAATTGTGGGGTCAGAAATAATGGCCGCGCGGATCTTTGTTTCATTCCTACCACTACGACTCCGATGTAATAACGTCAGAACGCTACGAGAAACGGCCGTAACTTGCTTATTTGTACGGTCAACATTTATTGCTACGGTTGTGACTTAGCCGTGAGACAATGCGAGAGGCCAAGACACGTCCAACGATTATAACGCCGGCAATCATATGATTAAAGTTTTCGAGCCCTGAGCAAGAATAATCTTCGGTACGGTCATCGACACGATGCAGTCAGGGTTATCGTCAGTAGCAGTACAGTCACGAACACAAAGAGCAGTAGCATGGCAATGAGCTTGGAGTAGCATCATTGACTAGGAAGGCTTCACCATTATTCAAAAGTACGGTCGTTATAAAACAACCTACGACCTGATTGACCGCGAGACATCTGTAACAGCGAGGCACGACGGCTACGGAGAAAGAATGACCACGGGCAGCGGGGATGCGCGGCTACATACGGCTGGAGTACGGCCGCTGGAAATACGGCCGCAAACGTGCGCGTAAAGTACTACGTACGTACTCATCGGTACCGCAACGGATCGAGGTTTCTGGTAAAATTAGGAGATTTGAGTTATGTTAACTGATAGATTTTCAACTTTGATTGTGTTAGGTTTTTCTTTCGCTGTACTAGAAATTTTTGTTATAGTATTATGTGAACTGAAATTCCCCAATTTAATATTAAATGCACCAGTGTGTCATTGCAACCCTCTCTCTGTACGATTTTTGCCGTAACCTATTTCATACGAAAACTTATATACGCGAATACTCCGAGTAAAGCCTAAGACGCTACGCACGCAACTTGACTAAATTAAAGCAATCGCTGAACAATCAATCAATAAAATATAACAATGAAGCAGGAGACAATCATACAAACTCACTCTAATTACCAACACATGTTTTATTCATATTGGGAGTATACGAAACATGACAATTCAGTCATAAGAACGATGAAGAGAGGGAAAATTAAGAAGGTTTCATACCCTTCTTGAGCTCCTCGTCCATGTGGAACATGATCACGATTTATGATTTCAATACATGAAATATCTTTTTGAAGTCCTGCTCTCAGTTGCCTACCGTCTCATTTCGCTCATTTTGGTGCAATGCTGCACAAGCTGAAATTTTATGTGTAATTTTTTAGTGTGCCGTCGTACTATTACATCGAGGTAATGAATACATTCTTCAATTACATGATTTTAATGGGTTAAATTGAAGTAAACATTTTGCTTGAATCCAAGAACATAGAGAAAATTCTAGAAGTTAAAGATGTTCGCTACATGTAAACTTGGCAGGTCCCTTGTAAAGTTTTTCTTTGACTATTAATGGGTTTGAAATCAATTGTAGTGAAGTTTGATATTAGATTTCTATAAAGTGTCATATAAGCAAGTATCAACCATAAAAAAATGTATGACCTCAAAGTACTGTACGTATTTTGAAATTTGTTCAATCAATCTTAAGTATACAGGAGAAAAATTTTTCTGTAATATTATAGATTCCTGGAATACAGTCATACTCCTTTAATGGGAACGGCCTCCAACTTCCGTCAACCGATCAGAATTTCCGTAGGAATTCCCTGCCATCAGTCATTGTTCGGTTTCACTTTCCTGGAATTCATCGCAATCAACAGTTGGTTTCGTCGGTGTGTGTATATTAGAAAGTGGGAATTTTTTAAAATAACTTAGCTGCGTACACTACAGGAATAGTTCTAACGCATGATGAATATGTTTGCTGAGCATATATGTATTAGACCAATAATTGAATTTATTCAGACTATATAATGAAACGTAATAAATTCCAACTGAGTTTGTGCTATAAGCATTCGGAAACTGGATCATAAGAAATTAATCTGGTGACCATAAGTTCAAAGATTAATAACACCTGCTGTTTTTAGAATCCATGGCGGGTGTCGATTCATCAACCATCATCATTATATAGTATCGTGCCAGGGCAGTTCAACTTGATGTCGAAATCAACAACCAACAGAACGCCGTAAATTATTGTCGGTCGACTCATAAATCTAAAAGAACGTGGACGATCCGGTAAACCGGTGCCCGCCCGCAGTTGAACGGTGTACTTTAAATCATTTGTATTCTCTCCGCTCGGTCGTTCACAAAATTTTTCACGGCGATGTAGGTACATAAGGAAGGAGCTCGGGGTTTCATCCACACACCTGTACCAGTTGTTTTTATGTGTGCATTGTTGCAGTCTACCCTCACAAGATATAGCAACTGCTTGTTAAACTTTTATGGCGTCAAACTTTGCTGTGAGTAACATTTTTTTTTACTGTTGATATCATTTGCTAGTTATTGTAATTTATTAAATGACTTAGGAATATATAATTGATTGGAACTGTGTTTTAATCTCAGTGCTTTTGATTGCGAAAATTACGAGTCCCACTAGCAGACTTAGCGTGTCGAAGCTGGCAGTGAAATATTTAGACGACCTGGGCTAGGAAATAATTACTATTTACTTTCCCTGCATTCAGACCGACTTCATCAATCAACACAGAATCCATTCCCAGTTTAAACTCAAAGTCCACCTTAGTAACTGGCGCATGCTGAAGTTTATCGCACAGCTGCCTCAATTGCACCGTTAGTAGAACCAGTTAATCTTCATTATTATAGGGCCTTGCTGGGTGGGCTATGCCTGCATAGCAGGGGTGCTGCGTCTCGGGTGCAACGGGTGATTGGTTCAGGGTACGGAGGCAATGAGGTTCTTCCGGTACAAGTTGGCACCAACGTTGGTGAAAATTTTCATATTGGTAGTGTGCCTATCCGTCCTTATAAAATATGGTGCACTTGTTAACATCCAGTGCTCAATCCTAAATTATGTTTTACCCATTGTCTTAAAAGTTATCATGATGATAATTAACAATCATCTTAACAAAAACAACTGAAAGTTGCAAAGCACAATCGTCTAACACCAGAGCGAAGCTTCTTTTGGACAGCGAACTCTGATTTAAAGAGTTTTTATCATCTCTGAATAGTTCACATTTATGTAAAAATACTGATTTTTTAATATGTTAACCAGGAATATAAATGGTCAGGATAATCATTACCACATATTTGGACATTCATCTCAGTCAACTACTTACGCAAAAAATTGGTCGCCCGGTCTTCCACAAACGCTGCTACAGCAGTTAAATAGGAGCGCGTTGCGATTATCATGTCATCAGAAAGATATATGAATTTTTTGAAGGTATTTTTATGTTATATGATACATATATCAAATACTCTTCTCACCAGGCTTGATCAAGCTTTCTTTCAGCCCCTGAAAACGTTATCATGCATGCAATGATTAGCTTAAAATGGAAAATTAAATTTTAAACAGATTAAATTTACGAGATAAGATGATAGAAAGACGGACTTGCGTAAATATATAAATACAACGGCATTATATAGGGAACTGTTGTTTTCTTTGGAGTCAGCTGATGATCTGCTATAAGCTCTCGAATTGAGTGTGCTAATTTCGATTTTTTCAATGTAAGCGAGACCTGCAATTAAGCTTCGTTTAAAATAGCAGACGACCAAAGCATGTTAAATACAACTCAATGCTGTGGACTATAACAATGTTCTTAAGACCTTCCACTCGAATTGGGCCATATATGTACTAATAATGAAATTCCACTTCTGCGTATTGTGACACCAGTGTACCATAGGGTACGCACACAGTGAAATTAAGCAGG